TAGTGTTGCAAGTTGCCGTGTACATTTGTGTACGTACAATTTAAGTTGTACAAATACAAGCACGATGAAAATAGTTCAGAAGCTTGGCTTCAGGTATAGCATATTTGTAACGTTTAGGTATGAATCCAACAGTGTTGCAACTTGCTTTAAGTTGTAGAAATGCAAGCGCGATGAAAAGTGAAAAGTTCGGAAGCTTGGCTCCAGCCATAGCATTTCAAAATTTGTAACACTTAGATTTTAATTTCCGACAGTGTTGCAAGTTGCTGCAAGGCCTGATCCCCAAGCGTGAGGAGAAGGACGCCTCCCCTGTCCCGGTGGAACACCTGGAGAAACTCTACACCTTCACCCTCATGTGGAGCGTGGGCGCCATGTTGGAACTGGACGACAGGGTCAAGATGGCGGAATGGATCAAAACCAACCCCGACATCAACATCAACCTGCCGGATATCGATGAAGATTCCGAGGCCACCATCTTTGACTACTGTGTGGATAATGATGGTAGGAGATTTTGAAACTGAGACATTAAAACCAGTTTTCGAATCATAGTTGTTACAGTTTATTTATGATAAATTATACCATTATCTTTCTGAGGAAAAATGTGCTGAAAGATTATCAAATACATAATATTTCGCACATTAGAAACACTTGGTTAGGCATCATGAGCCAAATTTTCTTTTCTCCCTTCAAGTATACAAAGATAAACCCTAATTTAGGGTTTTTCCAGAAACCCTAATTTAGGGTTTTTCCAGAAACCCGTAATTTAGGGAGTTTCCAAAAACCCTAATGTAGGATTTTTCCATAAACCCTAATTTAGGGTTTTTCCAGTAACCCTAATTTAGGGTTTTTCCAGAACCCTATTTTTTTCCAGAAACCCAAATTTAGGGTTTTTCCAGAACCTCTAATTTAGGATTTTTCTTAGACTAGTAACCCTAATTTAGGGGTTTTCCAATAAAACCATAATTTAGGGTTTTTCAGAAACCCTGATTTACGGTTTTTTAGAAACCCTACAAATTTCTGCAAGAGAATCAGAATGACTGGATAAGTATTGTTTCCAGGTAACTGGCAGCACTGGGAGAGTCGTGTGGAGGAGTACCACTACCCTGCAGACAGTACCCCCGAGTACGGCAGCATCCTGGTACCGAACGTGGACAATGTCAGGACTGACTTCCTCATACACACCATCGCCAAACAGACTAAGGTACCAGCAACGAAATGAACATTTTTGCAGTTAATGCACTTGGCATATGCATTTTCAGTAATCTTGCTATTATGAATTTAGAATAACTTTTATTTCACAGTGACTTACTTTGTTACTGGAAATGTTAGTACATGTACATTGTATGTCTATTATCATAATTGCACAGTTTGTTACATAACCAATGCAAAACAAGTAAGACAAGTCCACATTGTGTATACTAAGCTCATAAAACTGATTAATTTACAAAGTACTCCAAACATTCCAAGTGCCTTATAATATGTCAATATCATACATGTATCTAATATATTAAAGGTCTCCCTACTGCCTATTTACATCATAAAATTAATACAAATTTGGTGCTGAAGGCTACATCAGAAGGCAAATTTAATAACCCCATACTATTCTACGATGCCAATTTACATATAAATTTCATGTTGCAGTTTGACTATGAATGTAGATGTAACTCCTTGTGTTATTCACTAGGGAGTACTCCTGATTGGTGAGCAGGGCACAGCCAAAACCGTGATGATCAAGGGCTACATGTCACACTACGACCCTGACTTCCACCTCAGCAAGTCTCTCAACTTCTCCTCAGCTACTACACCCATGCTGTTCCAGGTCAGGAGCAATAGTCCAACAACAGAATTATAGCTCTTCGTGATGATAAATTAAATTTTTATGCACTATTTATGCTTACATATTGTTTTTGCCCTGTTTCCTCTTCTTCTTCAAACCAGTAAGGTTAATGACCTGAAGCAGAGGTCTGTCACCATGGTAACTGGTTTTGGGTTACATTATGTTGCAATTTTATAGCAGGAGGGATTTAGACACCAGTCTGACTATATATATGAAATTATGAATGTGTTTGTGTAAGAATTAACAGCAGATTATATGTGAAGGTTAACATTATGCATTATTTTGCTTTGCAAATGTAACCTTCTAGTTAGCTTGTTATTCTACAAATGGTTCAGTTGAGCAAATAGAAATCGTTGCAAACTTAGACATTAATTATTACAAAATCAAAAATAAATTAATACAATCATGTAGCTATAAAAATCACCAGTCCTCTTTATCAGTCAGTAACATTTTGCTATGAAAGGAGAGCTAATAAATGCTTGCTGTTGTCATTCTAGAGCTTTGGATGTTCTAACTATACAGCGGAGATAAATTGCAGCCCCTGCAAAAACCAACATTTCTTCATTTCTCCACAGCGATCCATTGAGAGCTATGTAGACAAACGTATGGGCAGCACCTATGGACCTCCTGCAGGGAAGAAGATGACTGTGTTTGTTGATGACATCAACATGCCCATCATCAACGAATGGGGAGACCAGATCACTAATGAGATTGTCAGACAGCTCATGGAGACTAGAGGCTTCTACAATCTGGACAAGCCAGGTGGGTGTCTGGTGTGAGATCTGTTGGGAGAGGGAAGTTTGAAACAGAAAGCAAAGACCTTTTAGTACACTTGTGTCAAACCATGTACTATGCTAAACTTTACAACTATTTTTTGCTGAATTACTCCTCTTTCAGATGAATTTTGATTTTAATTATGCCATTAAGAAAAACACAGTCAAACAACATGATGAGAAACACAGCTAGTCTACTAGTTGGATGTCTTGTCTTCATAATTCTCCTTCTGGCAATGTGGCTGCATTCTTACATGTAGCTACAAATGCTCAACTGCAACATATACTGACAGGTAAAGATACAAATGTCATGTACGTATATACAGTACAGTTGTATATACACTTTAGGGTGTATACAATGTATATGTTTGGTAGAGCCTCCTGGATGTTTCCTCTTTGGTGAATTTTGTTTGTTGATAATCCAGTAGTTCCCAGTGTTTTTGATATTCACTTAAAGCTACATTGTATCTGTAGTTATCAGCTTAGTAATACACATCTTCAACCAGCACAATGTTTCCCACTCCAGGTGACTTCACCAACATCGCTGATGTGCAGTTCTGTGCCGCCATGATCCAGCCAGGAGGAGGCAGGAACGACATCCCCAACCGCCTAAAGAGACAGTTCACCATCTTCAACTGCTCCCTGCCAACCAACCCTTCCATTGATAAAATCTTTGGTTAGTGTTGTTTTCTATCTTTATTTATCATGTTGCGCTGGGCAGGGCACGTTTCTAGAATGGAGGACCATCGCTTGCCCAAGATTGTCCTCTATGGCGAACTCTCCACCGGGCACCGGAATAGAGGAGCACCAAAGAAGAGATTTAAGGACAGTTTAAAGAAATCTCTGCCTTCGTGCAACATCGACCTTCGTCAGTGGTCAGCTCTTGCCACAGACCGAGCTGCTTGGCGGCTTACTGTTCATGACTCAGTCTCTGCCTTCGAGAGGAGACGCAGAACTGCCCTCGAAGAGAAACGTAGAAAGAGGAAGAACCGCACCGTCACGGCTCCAACACCAGACCCGTCATTTACCTGCAGCCACTGTGGCCGAGTATGTCTGTCACGCATCGGACTTGTTAGCCACCAGAGGGCATGCAGCAGGAGGGAGAAAGGCCCCTGATATCTTCGGACAACGAAGCCAAGCCAAGAGCCAAGAGAGTTGTATGAAGACTGTCTGGAAAAATGTGTGGTCTTTTGTCATTGAAACTAGAAATATCATAGACAGTGTAAAATTACATGTATTCATAGATTTGATTTTATATTGGAAGTTCATCTGTGTTGGTAGAAGTCATTATGAAACAAGTTTGAGCTGCAATTTGCAACACAAGAAATTTTACTTACCCAAATTTTACCCAATAGATTTGAGTTTGTACAACTGTACTTGCATTCACAATTACAGTCACTGTGGCTCCTACCAGAAAATCTATTCTTAGTATCTGATTGAGAAGAAAGTTTTTCTCTTCCCGACAGGTGTGATTGGTACTGGTCACTTTTGCGAGAAGCGACTCTTCCCGGCAGACGTGAGGTCCATGGTGGCGAAGATCGTCCCCGTCACGCGGCGAATCTGGCAGCTGACCAAGATCAAGATGCTGCCGACGCCTGCCAAGTTCCACTACGTGTTCAACCTGCGGGACCTGAGCAGGATCTGGCAGGGCATGCTCAACACCTGGTACGATGTGGTCAACAGTGTCCCAGTGAGTATAGCTTTTTATGTACATCTTGCAAGTTAGAACTTTCTTGACTTGACTTGACTAATATTGGGTGCCACTCTTCCTCTGCCACCCAAACCACCATGGCAGCCAAGAAACTACTGTCCTGTATATAGCATAACTTTCTAGGTACCCTCAAATCCTAACATCTCAGAGATGACAGGTTGTAACAGCACAGTATATTACTATAATAGGGTCTACATTATTTGTGGCCCACTAGGATGGGATACTCCCTCTTGATTGATGAAAACCAAACTTAAACTGTTATTTGGTATGGGATAACCTGGTTGATAGAGCACTAAGTTCTAGTTCTTTTAACTTTTATACCAGTTAGCATTTTACTATATTTTTGACAGTTAAGAAATTATTCTATGTTTACAAAATGTACAATGTAATATTCTTCATGGTCTGTATGCAATCTTAGTAAAACATAACTGTGCAATCAGTGATATAAATTTTGAATTAAAGAAAAAAAATTTTGAAGAGTCATCCATTAGATGTTTGTCTTTGTTTCCAAAATCATGCCCGAAGGCAAATTGCTTTTACAGAGTCAAAGATACTACATGTATACAGTACAATTAATAATAGGCAACAGACAACTACTGCCTGGAACTATATAAAGTATAGGAATATTACTCCTCCACAAAGTGCCATCTTATTCATTTGATTTTGCCTATTTTGTGTCCAGGTTCTGTTGCACCTGTGGAAGCACGAGTGCTGCCGTGTGATCGCAGACCGCTTCACCAACTTCCAAGACATCGGCTGGTTCGACAAGACGTTTGACCGCGTGGTAGTGGAAGATCTCGGTGAGGAGTACGCCCAACACCTCAAGGAGGAGAACTTCTTCGTCGACTTCCTCCGAGACGCTCCGGAGGCCACCGGGGACGAGCCCGAGGATTTTAACTTCGACATGCCGAAGGTGTACGAGCCCATCCCGTCGTTTGGCGAGCTGCAGGAACGACTGATCATGTTCATGCAGCAGTACAACGAGACCATCCGAGGGGCAGGCATGGACCTGGTCTTCTTCAGGGATGCCATGATCCACTTGGTAAAGGTAGGTATCACACCAAGGTTTACATTGGTATCACACCATTGTTACATTGAACACTGTACACTGTAAAAATAACCCCCAAAAAAGGAATTTTTCAAGGAAGAATGATAGTAGTAGTCATAGTCAACACTTTATATAAGCGTTAAATAGTAATCGCTACATTTAAGACCACATTTAACTACATGTATGCCAAATTTGGTGCTTTTAGACAAAAGTGCACAATATTTCAGCTATGACGCTAGGCTACTGTAGTGGCCCATAGTATATGAGCACGGAAGGCAGAAGGCGGCTGACTGAAAGTAACATATTAAATGAATCACTGTTTCCATAATATGATGACTTGCATCCGTCTGTTTCCATGTAGATCTCCCGTATCATCCGCACCCCACGTGGGAACGCTCTCCTGGTGGGAGTGGGTGGATCAGGCAAGCAGTCTCTCACCAAGCTGGCCTCCTTCATCGCTGGCTACAAGACCTTCCAGATCACACTGACCAGGTAAGGGTGAGAACTATGCTGGGTGGGTTCTTAGATCATTGTAGACTACACCCTTCTGATCTCTACGTACTCCTCACCGAGATACAAAAAGCAACTGTCCCTGGTGCTGCATACTTTCTGCAAAAACAGACCTATTCTTGGTACTGAACACCATCCATGCACAGGCAAACAGACCTGTCCTTGGTGCTGAACACCATCAACATACACTCAAAGAGACCTGTCCTTGGTTCTGAATGCCATCAATAGTCAAACAGACCTGTCCTTGGTACTGAACACCATCAACATACAGGCAAACAGACCTGTCCCTGGTGCTGAACACCATTCATGCACAGGCAAACAGACCTGTCCTTGGTGCTGAACACCATCCACACACAGGCAAGCAGACCTGTCCTTGGTGTTAAACACCATCCACGCACAGTAACACCCTGTAACTCCTTCTAGTTCCAAATTACTACAATCACTTGTAACATTACTATGTCCTAGGTCTTACAACCAGAACAATCTGATGGATGACCTGAAGATCCTGTACAGAACCAGCGGAGAGAAGGGCCAGGGCATGACCTTCATCTTCACTGACAATGACATCAAGGACGAGGGCTTTCTGGAGTACCTCAACAACGTGCTGTCCTCAGGAGAGGTGGGAAAAATTAGATAACTTTACAATTTTATGTCACTGTTTGGCATTTGTATCTGTTCATCTGAATAGATTACATCATCATCATCATAACAGATAACATTATGATAGTTTAGAGTACACAGGTGCTCAATGGACTTAGAGAATGTTCACAGTAAAGAGTAGGCCACTGTAGACAGGATTCTTTGTGCTTAGATCAACAGTAAGATACTAGATTTAACTTATTTTAAGAGACTGACAAAAAGTCGCCACAGTGATTACAAATAGGTAGTCCTTATGAATATATACAGTGGACAGGTACAAGTTTGACGTTTTTTTTAAGTGTAGTGTTCCTACAGTGTACATTTGTTTTAAGTTAGAACTTTGGTCCAACAAAAAAAAGTTCTCTCACCTAGAGCTTTCGACCAGTCCCTGTCACGGCCCTGATGTAAAAAGCCTTTTTCACCTTGCCTTGGTCAGTGTCCAATATTATTGCAGTGTCCAGTGAAACAATATATCCAGGTGACTCTATGTGGATGTGTTGTGACTCTTCTGAACTGGCTGAGCTTGGCCGTTAGTGTGCCTGGAACCTAGCCTGTACCTACATTTATTGTTTTATACAAGAAAACCACTATACTTTTTAAAGATATTAAATTCTCTTTCTCTCCCCAGGTGTCTAACCTGTTTGCGAGGGATGAGATTGATGAGATCACCCAGGAGCTGATCTCTGTCATGAAGCGGGAGTACCCCCGCCGCCCTCCCACCATGGAGAACCTGTACGACTACTTCCTCACACGTGTCCGGCAGAACCTCCACGTGGTGCTCTGCTTCTCACCTGTAAGTCTCTGTGCAGTTGCGCCTCCTTGCAGATTGTTCAATAATTGCACCTCATCAAGTAGGAAAAATACAATACTACTTATATTTTCAGTCTGACACGAGGAATTTTGAGGAAAAAATCTTGCTTGTAGTATTTTGATGTGTAAGTCTCTGTGCAATTGCTCCTCCTTGCAGATTATTTAATAATTGCACTTAACAAGTAGTTGTTTCATCATGTAAGAAAAGTACAGGAATACTCAGATTTTCAGTCTGACACAAGAGGAATTTTGAGGAAAAAAATCTTGCTTGGCTTTCCAGTATTCTGATGACCCCTTAGTCTCAAATTGCCAATTAGAATGTGATCTGTATAAAGGTCCTGCTTTATATATATAATTATTTGTCACTGTCAGTTTTGCTCATGTCTTTGGCGATCATTTGTAGGTTGGTGAGAAGTTCCGAAACCGAGCCCTAAAGTTCCCAGGCCTGATCTCCGGGTGCACGATGGACTGGTTCCAGCGCTGGCCCAAGGACGCGCTGATCGCCGTGGCTGACCACTTCCTGGCGTCCTACCAGCTGGAGTGCACGGCGGACACCAAGACTCAGCTGGTGCAGCTGATGGGCACGGTGCATGACGGGGTGGCCGAGAAGTGTGCAGAGTATTTTGAAAGGTGCGAATCATACTTTCATCAGGATTTGGTAGAAGTCTTTTAAAATGATTGACTATGTACTGCGGCACAAAACTTCAAACTTTGAGAGAAAAAGTCTGCCACCGAGTTGACCTATGCAACAAGGTTGCTGGAGGATCTAAGGTCTAAAGACGTACTGTCACAGTCTGAAGAACATTTCTTATTAATTTTGTTACCTTTTGAATATCTCAAGGATTCACCTGAATTTCTGAAAAAGACAACAATTTCATGTGCTGCAGCAACAGTGCATGATCTGAGTAAATATTTGTGTCATACATTCTCTCCCCATAGCCTTTTGAGTAACAGTTACTTCTCACAGAGATCTAGAATTGACACAAACCCTCAAAGCTTTATGTGAGACATAACAATTTTTTTCTGAACCCTCAACTCAAATTCGTTAAATTTGTCTAGCCACATGTCAGCAAGATGTTACAGCTGTGAATGAAGTACTAGCATTCTAGTACTAGAAGTACTAGAATACCTAGCCACAATACAAACTAAATGTTATCATTCTTAATATAATTATCATTTCCAACCTTTATTAGGTTCCGCCGTGCCACACACGTGACACCCAAGTCTTACCTGTCCTTCATCAACGGCTACAAGACCATCTACGGGGACAAGTCCTCGGAGGTACAGGAACTCCAGAGGAGGATGAACACTGGTCTGGACAAACTCATGGAGGCCCAGCACTCCGTGTCCCAACTCAGCGTGGAACTGGCAGAGAAGGAGAAAGACCTGGCCGTGGCTTCTGCTAAGGCTGAGAAGGTGGGTCCAAAGGGCTGTTGCAGTCGAATCTGAAATTTTGGTTGTCAATTGTCTCAAAAGTCATGTGTCATCTGTCACATTGCAGGTTTATAAGCACAAAATATTGATTGATATGCTTCATTCCATAGTTAATGCTTATAAATCTGCAATTCTCCTCTGGTCTCTCAGTCACTGACGAAAGCTAGTGGATACTAGCTGAAACGTCTGACCGTTTCCAAAATCATATCCAGTTGCTTGAGTAACTGCTTTTTGGCAAATTTCATAGATCCATTCCCTAATAGATGTTCCTTTGCATTTGTTTGTTTGTACTTTAATTCAATCTTGACAAAGTTCTAGCAGGTTCTTTAGGGCCACTTTTCACAGAGACTGAGAGGAGAGGCATCCCTGGGTCGTAAACAAAAAGTATGTTAGTGTTCAACTTGATAATACATGGAGAACCTTGTCACAACACTAACCTAAGATTACAACATTAATTTGTTAATCTGCAGGTGTTGAAGGAGGTGACAGAGAAAGCCCAGGCTGCCGAGAAGGTCAAGGCCAGGGTACAGAAGGTCAAGGACAAGGCCCAGGCCATTGTGGACGACATCGCTGCCGACAAGGCTGTGGCGGAAGAGAAACTGGAGGTTGCCAGACCTGCACTGGAACAAGCAGAGCAGGCTCTTCAGGTACTTTATAAGTACAAAATGTATAATAAAAAATATGACAAAGATAATTCATTGCTTTTGAGTTTATTCCTAGTTTTTGTTCTTAATGCAGGCAATGGTGCCAGAGGTTTAAAGAGTAGAAAATAATTGTGTTACCCTGAAAAACAACTACAACAACAATGATTATTTTAAAAAAATCATATTTCTGTTACATATTGATGTGCTACTTCTCTGTATCTATCAGAATAGAATCATCATCGAGTTTCATTTTGTGACATAGAAACATTAATCTGATGTTTTACATCATACTTTTGATATTTCAGACCATCAAACCATCGGATATTGCAACAGTCCGAAGACTGGGTAAGCCTCCCCACCTGATCATGCGTATTATGGACTGTGTGCTGCTGCTCTTCCAGAGAAAGCTAGACACGGTCACCCTTGACCCAGAAAGGGCATGTCCCAAACCATCCTGGGCAGAGTCACTCAGGGTAAGTGTATGCTGCCACTCAATTTTTACTGATAGATTTTGCTTGCATTGCATCACAGATTGACTGCTTTGAGTCATGTCATTTACTGTCCTTGGTGCTGAATACTTTCCACACTTTAAAGTAAACCTGTCCTTGGTGCTGAACACTTTCCACACTGTAAAGTAAATCTGTCCTTGGTGCTGAACACTTTCCATACTGTAAAGTAAACCTGTCCTTGGTGCTGAACGCTTTCCACACTGTAAAGTAAACCTGTCCTTGGTGCTGAATGCTTTCCATACTGTAAAGTAAACCTGTCCTTGGTGCTGAACGCTTTCCATACTGTAAAGTAAACCTGTCCTTGGTGCTGAATGCTTTCCACACTGTATAATAAACCTGTCCTTGGTGCTGAATGCTTTCTACACTGTAAAGTAAATCTGTCCTTGGTGCTGAATGCTTTCCATACTGTAAAGTAAACCTGTCCTTGGTGCTGAATGCTTTCCATACAGTAAAGTAAACCTGTCCTTGGTGCTGAATGCTGAAATAGTAGTCCCAACTCAGCCCCAAGCTGTGTGGTCTGTTGATGAACAAAGTACTGTCACTATTCCTCCAGGTGATGGGAGGAGCAGATTTCCTCAAAACGCTCATCAACTTCCCGAAGGACACGATTAACGAGGAGACTGTTGAGCTGCTGCAGCCGTACCTGGAGATGGAGGACTACAACATGGAGACGGCCACCAGGGTCAGCGGCAACGTGGCCGGACTCTGCTCATGGACCAAGGCCATGGCCTACTTCTACGGCATCAACAAGGAAGTCCTGCCACTCAAGGTAATCAGCACATTAATCAATTTTTGTAGTTTGTGCTTATAAACCTGCCTTCTCTTGCTAGTCTCTGGTGTCACTGGTGAAAGGTAGTGGATGCTACCTGAAACACCTGTGACCACTTTCAAATCATATCAAGTTGCTTGACTAACTGTTTTTTGGTGTAAGGTAATCAACAGTCTGACTGGTATTTGGTTGTCTGGCTTATTTTTCTTTGTGTATGACATTTAAAGCAATTTTGTCAAAATGCATAGTGTTAATTGTAGTTCCAGTAACTTAGAGAAATGTACAATGTATGCTGCCATTTTATTCCAAGTTATTCTAACAGAATGTATGGTGCTGATTGTGAATCAAGAAGTTATAAAAACAAATTGCAACAAGTATATCACTGTGATATACTTAATTTGTGATAAGAGACTAATGATTAGTTCCTCACTCAGTCAATGACATTCAGTCATCCATATCTTAAGACAAATCCTTGAGTGCCTTTTTTTATTAGTCATGTACATGTACATGTACATCAGAGCTGACTAAGGTTCTTTTTGTTGCCAGGCCAACCTGGCTGTCCAAGAAGCCCGTCTGGAGAAGGCCAACATGGACCTGCAGGAGGCACAGGAGCAGCTGGACGCCAAACAGCGGGAGCTGGACATCGTGCAGGGTCAGTACGACGCAGCGGTCAGGGAGCGGCAGGAGCTGATGGACGATGCCGAGACCTGCAGGAGGAAGATGCAGACGGCGTCCAGTCTGATCGAGGGGCTGGCCGGGGAGAAGGAACGCTGGACACAGCAGAGTAAGGAGTTTGCTGCACAGATAAGGAGGTGAGAAACTTATTGACACCTTGCCAACAGCTCTCAACAAAGTCAACAGTTTTCACACAATAATCTTTTAACAGGGCTCAGAATCCTTCCAGCTGCAGGTATCCTTGGAACTAGGCAAGTTTTGTCTGCACCACTCTGCAGGCAAAGCAGATTTTATGAAGTACAACATGTATTCATCAAAGTATCAAACTGGAAACCATTTTAACTCTTTTCACAGTATTTCATAGGTGGTAACAAATCAACTTAAATCATCAGTACAGCACATAAAAATGGGTACAAACACTTTGACCCATACCCAGTACATAAACCAGAGCAGGATATGTGATATGCATCCAATTTTACATATTCGTGTGGTCTTTCGAACCCTGATTTATTTATTTTAAGTTAATATCATTTTACGGTAGCTAGAGGTGGTCCTAGAAAATGTTGAGAATGACTTTCATACTGGAGACTTTGAGAGGTGCATGACTTCATACAATTCAAACCTGCATGGCCTTACTACCGGTACCTTTTATTCCACCCCAGGCTTGTGGGAGATGTTCTGATGGCCACAGGATTCCTGTCGTACTCCGGACCCTTCAACCAGGAGTTCCGCCATCTCCTGCTCACCAACTGGCAGAAGGAGCTTCGCTCCAGGAAGATCCCGTACACACAGGACCTCAACGTCACCAACATGCTCGTAGATGGGGCTACCGTAAGCACTTTCAGTATCTTAAAAATATGATTATCATGTTTTTTTATTGCGACAATAGTGAAAGACAAGAAATCTGAGATTCCAATCGCCTTGGAAGTACTGTATTATGACCAACACAGATACAATGAAAATAAAAAAATCTGCATATTCTAGACCCCAATAGTTAATCGTATACTGAGAACCCAAGAAATCGTTCCAACCCACCATCATGAGTTACAGCTGCAAACACACAATTTGAAAATAGAAACAGAACCATTCCACGGGGGTAAAAACTAGGAAACTTTTCAGGAATTGACAGTCCTTGCAGTATTCAGTTTTTACACTCAGTAAGTCTTGCATCGATCAAGCTGTGGAATAAGTTTACTTAGTTGGCATTACTAGCATTGTGTTCATGTATTTTGATATGAGTGTCTCACACAGTTCTTGTTGTTACTGTAGGTGAGTGAGTGGAACCTCCAGGGTTTGCCCAACGATGAGCTGTCCATCCAGAACGGCATCATCACCACCAAGGCCTCCCGTTTCCCCCTGCTGATCGACCCTCAGGGACAGGGCAAGAGCTGGATCAAGAGCAGGGAGGCTAAGAGGGAACTACAGGTAGGCACGCAAACACCAACTGACACACTACCATCCTCTTAACATCACAAAACCCACACATTATAGAAAAAGTGGGATCGTTGGTCTTCCACTGTCTCAAAAAAAAAAGTCAAAACCATGAAGTTCAATTTAGTGTTCAGTAGTTAGAGTAGTCACATACTATTGTTACCCATCCTGTTGTACACTTTTTATTTTCATGTTACATGTACTTGCAATTAGCCTACGGGCAGGAATTTGCAATACACTTTCTCTATATACAATCATCATGTACAAAACATTGGACATCTTAGTAGCCACTGCCTTCAGAGAAGAAGTCATAATCTCGTAGTGAACATAGTGCCTGAATATTTATAATGTTCTATTTGGAAAACTCTCAGTTAATGTACACATTGACTTGCTTGCTAGCAAATAGTACTTTAAATCAATTTGGAGTAAGGACTTTTTGCATCGATTTCAGAAGTGATTCTCAAAGATTTAGCACTGGTGCAGTGTTCTGTCCTAAGCTAGATAGAATCAGTCTGTTGACTACAGCACACTGCTTACAATGTATGTGCACATACAATGCTTGTTTTGATTAAAATGTGGCACTCACTGTCAAATGTGCAGATCACGTCCCTGAATCACAAGTACTTCCGGAACCACCTGGAGGACTCGCTGTCTCTGGGGAGGCCGCTTCTGATCGAGGACGTGGGAGAGGAGCTGGACCCTGCCCTGGACAACGTGCTGGAGAAGAACTACATCAAGTCTGGGAAAACTCTCAAGGTTTGTCTACTAAGTTCATTATAATTGTTTCCATCACATAATCATTAAACTGCCGTTAAGCGTAACACTCCTTGACCAGTTTTGTACAGTCATTTACATTTTGTACCTTCAGCTATATTTTGGTACCAATTCTGTATTCGTTATGAGGGTTAGGCAGCAGGGAAAAGGTTCTATAAAATGCCTTAAGACTGTTTGATTTCTTTTACTCATACCAGGAAGAAACCCTAGCCTGCTTTTGAAAAAAATTACAGGTAACTGGGTGGTAACTGGGTGGTACATGTAACTGGGTGACTTCTTTAATGTGCATACAGTGTGGCTGTCCTTAAACATGTCTAGCATTAGACAGTTGAATTGCCTCTGTAACTGTAGAGCCACCACAGTGACCATAGCCCTGAAAGTATTCCTACCTTTGTACAGGTGAAGGTTGGAGACAAGGAGGTTGATGTGATGGATGGGTTTGTGTGCTACATCACCACTAAGCTGGCCAACCCTGCCTACACGCCTGAGATCAGTGCCAGAACGGCCATCATTGACTTCACCGTCACCATGAAGGGACTGGAGGACCAGCTGCTGGGCAGGGTCATCCTCACAGAGAAGGCTGTAAGTGCTACTAAATTTGTCGGTTTTTAGTTATTTTTTGAAAAAAATTGTCAGAGCTTCAGCCCATTTATCTTTCAAAACATAAACCATGGTGCAATCAAAACTGTTTTCTGTGTCATTCACATTTCCACAGACTCCCATACTGGCCTGTCATTGGTGGTTACTTTTGTATGTTTACTGAAGGAAAACATATTGTTTTTGCCCTGTTTCCTCTTCTTCTTCTCCAAAGCAATAAGGTCAATGACCTGAACCACATGTCACCATTGTAACTAGTGTTGGGTTACATCATGTTGCAATTTTATAGCACAAGGGATTTAGACTCCTGTCACCATATATATATGAATGTGTTTTGAGTAAGAATTACAATATGTAACAGAGCAGACCATATGCAAACTAAGGTAAACATTATGCATTTGCTTTACAAATGTTTAAGTTTCTAGTTTAGTTTTAAAGTTCCCTGAGTCGGAGATCTATGTTCACAAAAAGGAACTGTTACGGCCCCAAACAGCTAGAGTTTACATGTATGTTACACAGACCTTCTGTTGGTTCTGATTGGTTTTGATGCCTGTTTGTCGTACAGGAGCTGGAGAAAGAACGTGTGGAGCTCCTGGAGGAAGTCACGGCCAACAAGAGGAAGATGAAGGAGCTGGAGGACAACCTGCTCTTCAGACTCACCAACACACAGGTAGGATCATCTGTCAGTGACTGTCTGACTTCAAGAAAGCATCGGAATATACTCTTACACAGGAACAGACATACACAATGTACCTCTGTGCAGAGTTTCATCAGTATTCCTACAGTAACTGTATTGTACATTCTGCATTGTATTGGTCTCATGTCACATTTGTTGTTCTGAGAGCATTATCTGGATGGGATGTTCTGTACAAAATTCAATGGTCTTCTTCTTATTCTCATTGTCTACAGTTGGTTCTGTCTCTGCTTAAAACTTCTACGACATCAAAATTGTATAATGACGAAAATAATAATATGACTGTGCTGTTCCTCTTATGGTTGGTCACTAACAAACAAGCAGCTAGATCCTGAAAATTGCACAGACTGAAGAGACATTTTGTTCCTCTCAGGGTTCCCTTGTAGATGATGAGTCCCTGATCGTGGTGCTGTCCAACACCAAGAAGACGGCGGAGGAAGTCAGCCACAAGCTGCAGGTGGCCGCAGAGACGGAGACGCAGATCAACACGGCGCGAGAGGAGTACCGTCCCGTGGCCACGCGCGGCTCCATCCTGTACTTCCTCATCGTGGAGATGAGCCTGGTCAACGTGATGTACCAGACCTCGCTCAAACAGTTCCTGGGGCTGTTTGACCACTCCATGGCCAGGTAGGTAGCTTCATGTACAGCAGAAAGAAAGTATTACACAGAAAGTGATCTCGAACCAGTTTTAGCTCACTGAAGAGCTAATCTCCTACTGGTCGTGACAGAGAAGTTGTGTACTGAGTATTTACAGGTTCATTGTACTGGGGAAATTCCCCTAGTTCTTTTCGACAAGCACAATGAACAGTGGACCACAGTTTAATGTCCCATCATAAGGACTGTGACACTTTCCAGTAGCGTGCATGTCGGGTGAGCGACAACAGCCGGGATTCAAAATCCCAACCTCTTAGTCCAGAGGCAGGGCCGCTAACCACTGGACTATGCACGGTACCGAGCCAGGACAGAGTAGACCCAGTCACTGTGGCAGTCAGTATTGCCGTAAGGAAGGTAACAGATGGATACTGAAATGTCAGTAACTGTTAGATTGTGTACAAATAGCTTAACCAGTGAGTTACAAACCTGAGAAAACTATTCACAGGGCCAGGGGAGGGCTGCTTTGACTAGTGATATTGGGGTTTTCTTGAGGACCTTTATTCTGCTTTCCAAGACCGCAAAACATGGAATGATGTTTTTAATTTAGGGTACCCCCAGCCTGGTACAGTACTAGGTAATTAGCAAATGTTGATGTGCTTTAACCTACATTGAAACTGGTGGCTTCTTATGACCTATTTTGATTTGAAGACATCTTGCTCACTGTACTGTTTGTTAACTATTGCCATCTTGTACAGGTCAGCAAAGTCTCCCATCACCAGTAAGCGTATTGAGAACATCATTGACTACATGACGTTTGAGGTGTACAAGTACACAGTACGAGGCCTGTACGAGAAACACAAGTTCCTCTTCACCCTGCTCCTCACGGTCAAGATCGACATCAAGTCCAAGAAGGTCAAACATGAGGAGTTCCTGACACTTGTCAAAGGTAGGAGTCTTGTACCTGCTCTTGCTATGATCTTAAAGCGTTTGTTTGAACCATTCTGTATTCATAAAGGACCTTAAAGTGCAGGATGCCAATATTTATATTTCAGTGTTGCCTCTTGCATGCTTAATTGATACATATTGAAACATTGTATGGCTTTTGGATAGTTTTGTTTTAATACCTGTTCAACTACAGATTCCATTACTCTCTGATGAAAAGAAGTGGATGCCACTTGAAATGTCTGGCAGTTTTTAAAATCTATCCAGTTGCTTGAATAAGAATTTATGTGAAACATCCGGTAATCACTAGATTCTCAAAGACTTTATTTCCTATCAATTCAGAACTCCTTTTACTGTAGGATATATAGGAGTTTTCTTACACAATCAAACTTGTCCTACCTTGCTTGCTTTAGAGCTTCTGACTGTGACTTCTTGCCACTATATGTTAGCAGATGTAGGTGGCAAGCAAGGTAGAACAAATTTGGTTGTGTAAAAGAAAACCTATCCTATACTCTACCAACCTGATGAAACAGCTTTTGGCTCCTTTTACTGTGTAGTGCAAGTTCATTTCATTGTGGTGCTGTTCAGAATTAGAGTCATCTCTAAAGACTTAGGCAGTGAAGACTATTTCACCATGGCATTGTGATGACAGGTGGTGCATCCCTGGACCTGAAGGAGGTGATGCAGAAGCCGTGTAAGTGGATCCTGGACATGACCTGGCTCAACCTGGTGGAGCTCAGCAAGCTCAAGAACTTCAGCGACATCCTCAACCAGGTGGGAAGTCTGTCACCTTGTCTTTTGTGTTCTGTGCTTTTTGTCGAGCCATCGTGTATTGTCTTTGGAATCCATAAAAGTGCTGTCAATACTTGAACTAACAACAAATTTATCACAAAAATCAGTTGCTAGCCAGTTGTACCATTTTATTGTAACAGTTATAGTCTACACATTTCAAGAAGTTTAGAATTCCTGTGCAAAGTTTTTTAGCATTTTCATTTAGAGAAACTTTAAGACAGATAGCGTTAGTTCACCAGGTACTTGTTACAGTAGTGCTCTTCCTTTTCTTCTGTTATCCTTATCCTTTAAATTAAGACACCCTACATTCTGTTCTTAGTAATGCGACCAGTCTTAACAACAGCCCACTGACTGTATTTTACAGATCACCCGTAATGAGAAGGCGTGGAAGAGCTGGTTTGATAAGGAGGCACCTGAAGATGAGGTCATCCCTGACGGGTACCACGCCTCGCTGGACACCTTCCGCCGTCTGCTGCTCATCCGCTCCTGGTGCCCCGACAGGACTCTCAACCAGGCCTCCAAGGTACATGTGGGGAGTTTATAATACAGTAGAGGGGATTCATTCCTCAAGCTAACCAACATCTTGCACACACAGTCGTCCCTCAGTAAGACATCTGGAGCCGCATAGTTCCTGTTTAGAGCTTTTATTCAGCCTGTCTATCCCCTATACTATATAAATACGGGGAGTTGATAAAAATATTTCATTAATGGCGAATTTTGTTTGTTCGCACTAATGCTCTCAGGGAAAGAATACAGATTCTGAAGTTGTGTCTTAGGATATGTGGAGTTCCTCATGGGTACTTACCCACGTGGGTCCCTTGAGTCCAGGAGAGGGCAGGCATCTGTAAGAGAACTGAAAAGGATACAGTACTACGAAGATCCCATCCCTGCAATGTCCTTCCTCCACCTAAAGAGAACCCAGAGTACAGATTCCTCAACACTCAATATAAACTTCCACTCAGTAGGACAAAAAGTCTTTGTAAGAACCACGAAAGACTTACAAAATGCAGAGTAAGAGTAAGAATTGTTTTGAAAGAAGTGCTTTGATCTAGGATCTGTGTATAACAACTTTGTTATTATTTTATACAAACACAGTAACTGTAATATCACTGACATCATCATGAATTGCAAATGGTTTTAAATTTTATCAAACCATTAAAAAATAACACACTAAAAAGCACAACATTGTAGCCCTGGTGCTAAATTTTAGTGTACTATTATACATATTACTAAAACCACCTCCAAAGACAATTAAGTATTTAACTTAAATTTACATTTTGAGGTCGCTGACAGACATTGTCACCAAGCTTTAAATAACACAATTATCACAATGCTAAACCTGGTGCTTTGTTCACAGTACATCCTGGACTCCATGGGAGAGAAGTACACGGAGAGCGTGATCCTGGATGTCGAGCAGATGTGGGGAGAGACGGACAACCGCACGCCGCTCATCAGCTTCCTGTCCATGGGCTCGGACCCCTCCAACATGATCGAGGCCCTGGCCAAGAAGAAGGGGATCGAGTGTAAGGCCATCTCCATGGGCCAGGGGCAGGATGTGCATGCCAGGAAACTTCTCAAGCTCTTCATGGAGACGGTGAGTCCTGATGACTTGAAGTATATCATTTTACTCCTACTCTCACTACAGCGTGCAAAATATCTGGTTGCCCAGATGCCCCGGGCAACCAAATTTTACTTGGGGCAACCTATTTTTGAACCTAGGTAGCCCAGTGTGCTACCTGAATTTTAAGAATGCCCCCCCCCCCCAAAAAAAAATCATGCCCACTTGGCTTGCACCACTGTATCCAGCAGATGCTTTTTAATTTTAGGTATTAATGGCTATTACTAGTATCAACTAACTAAAAGCTGTTAGAAATATTATCAAAGGCTTAGTTATGTAACATTACTTAATTTGAAGAAAGTAGTAACTTATAGGTGGGGTAACCTAAAATTCTGATGGACAACCTAATTTTTGCAACAAAGTGGACTATACTGCACTACTATCTCAACCATTGGAAACCTTAACTTTGGGTGCCTTTCCAGCCTTGTTTTGGTCTCAAATACTCTCTGCAGAAAGAATTATAGCTGTTGTGATGTTTTTGGAAAAAAAAAGATCCCACAACCCATAGGACACAAAAGCTTGTTTTTGTCAATCCATGTTCTTTGCTTTCAATAGATTCCATTGTATAATTTCAGCTTTAACTTGAGTAGGTTTGTCTTTGTCCTTGCTGAACACTTTCCATTGCGATAAAGAGCCCTACATTCTCTAACCAAAACTCAACAAAGGTGCAGAAGTAGCCTGGCGGCATTTTTCAGTTAAGAATTTCTTCTCTTTATTGAGTGTGTTGATGTCTGTTTCAGGGTGGGTGGGCACTGCTACAGAACTGTCATCTGGGACTAGACTTCATGGATGAACTGATCAACATCATCGTGGACACTGAGGTGATCCACGACAGCTTCAGGCTGTGGATGACAACAGAAGTCCACGATAACTTCCCCATCAACCTACTACAGGTCAGTACTTAACACAACATTCTACAGCAATGTACATTTTGGATTTGTTTGTGTGATTGTGTGTTTGTGTGTGATATTTTCATTATCTCAAGCTCCCTGCATGTTAGAAAACTACTCACTGACAATTAACAAAGGAGGAAAATAAGATCACAATGGGATTGTGTCATAGAAGAAAGAAAAGGTCAAAACTACACATATGATAATGTAGGTTTACTATTTAATTGTACACTGATGCTTCAAGCAAATTCAATGTCATTCAGTTGTCTTGTGAAGTTCTTTCTCTCTGTTTTGCTACTTAGACATTTTCAACACCTTCATGATCACTCTCTCTACTAATGTCCCTGGAAGAAGAAGAAAAAAGTGACAGTAAAAAAAACAGAGCTTCTGTACTAATAAAAGAGACTACACATATGTATCTCAGATACATTGTACATGCAATCAATAGTGAATAGTTAAAACAATTTCTGCCAATGTCCTGATCTCCTTCCCTTGTTTTTTTTTGACAGATGTCCATCAAGTTCACCAGTGAGCCTCCCCAGGGAGTGAAGGCTGGTCTGAAGAAGACGTACGCAGGAATCAGCCAGGACCAGCTGGAGATCAGTAACATGCCTCAGTGGAAGCCTATGCTGTATGCTGTGGCATTCCTACATACTACAGGTACAGGAATGGGAACAGTTGTATATATTATGTTGTATATATATTAGATTTACCCCTGGTATTCATTGAGGCAATTAACAGCTACTACCACATTCATAAAGGCAATCGACAACTAATACCAATAACAAGCATCAGTAGATGGCTTAGTTTGAAAACACAGTCACTGTGAAACATTAGAGATGATATTTAATTGATACTACATTGCCAAAGTAAGTTTTTGGTAGGCTTTGAAATACCCCTTGTTCTACATGTACAATGTCCAATTCCTTGCCACTACTGAACTGTTGTCTGCCCTTGTGGACCAAACAGATTTTACATGTACATTGACTTGACATTGTTGCAATTGATAACTTAGGCCACACAAAGTTTGATTCTTCATTTATTCATTTAAGACATTGTTAAAAGGCCACACCAGTTTTTTGTCTCATTTGTCCTTGTCCTCTTTGAGATAGATGTTGGCCTACGTACACAATTGCCGTTTTGTTCATTATGAATAAATTTACTACTTTTCAACTGTTAATTGTTGGCTTATTGTTGAATTTTTTTTAAATTTTTCCTGTGCAGTGCAAGAGAGAAGGAAATTTGGTCCCCTGGGATGGAACATTCCTTATGAGTTCAACCAGGCAGACTTCAATGCCACTGTACAGTTTGTACAGAACCACCTGGATGATATGGACATCAAGAGGGTGAGTTGTGTCTTCATCTTTGAATTATGACATTGTGCTTAGTCTGGTATTCTGTGATAACCACTGCTCTGAGAGAAGAAAAACAACTACATACATGTACAGTATCAATCTTTTCCTTTTATATTCAATTACTTCTACATGAACCACACCACATGCCAATGTTTCAGCAAGGCATCACTGGTGTGTAGGGCTACATGTAACTGCTTGCCACAAAATGGTGCTATGTCAAAATTACAATCCCATTAATATGTAATCCACCCTGCTACAAACTCAGGTCTCATGTTTCAATTCAGAGCCTGTTCTATATATTCCATTCAAACTTTTACTACTAGAGCTAAATTTTCATGTTTGTGATAAGATTTTGGAATTTTTATGAGAGTAACATAGTTTGTAATGCTAGAATATATTGTTATGTGGTGTTGTTTTTGTATTTTTACTGGAAAAAGATGATTTTGAAAAAGACTTAGGCTTCAATCTAAAAATTGATATGAGGGTGCTGGTTTGTTACATGAGAGTGCAGCGCCCCTGTTCCCCAGGGGGTCGGCCCTATGTTACGACAGCCCTATGTTACGACAGCCCTATGTTACGACAGCCCTATGTTTTGATAGCCTGGGTACCATCCCCAGTAGTATATTCGCTGGTTATAGAGTTTGCGAATATACTACTGGGGATGGTGCCCAGGCTAATGTTTTGACACCCCCTTTTTTCAACGTGTTCAGACACCAAGTGATATAAATTATTTGTGAGTGTATTGAGTGTAATGATCTCGAAGGGAATTTTCACGTAATATATTGTCACTAGTGACAGTGTTTCCGCCGCTGAGAGATCCTGAGAGGCCGTCCAGTTGGGAGGGCCAGGTCGCGAAAATTAATTAAGTTATATGGAACACGTCGCGAAAATTAACTGAGGGAGCGGGGCATTTGTTTACACTTGTTTACAAGTTGAAACTGTCCACAAGCATTCCACATTTTTCACAAGTATTGACATAAAAAAACACTGCTACAAATGGCAAACGTATCGTCAGGAATACTTAATTAGGACATTCTGCTGCAAAACTCCGGCTATCGCGGGCGCTACCAGAGGTGCCCGCGATAGCCGGATTTTAAGAGTGAAGAGCCTTGCTTCGTCCGTACTAGCAACATTTCCGCTACAAATTACTAGTCTACAAATTACGCCAAAAATACATCAAAACATGTAAAGAAGCGTCATCTTATCTCTCATACACGAGACAAATTTTGTGGTACCTTTCGCGTATTCAAGCAACCCGGAAGTGTCAGCGAACCGCGGCGTGGATAGCGAACTATGGCGTGGATTTTCATGCAACCCGCCCGCTACAAGACCATCAAAAACATATAACTTCCAAAAGAGAATTTTTAAATCCGAAATGATTTTTTTCGAGGAAAAAATATTTGTGGATACATTTTACTGGATGGAAACTTGAAAAACGGGTTTTATTAATGAGATTAACGTATGCGAAAGGCGCCGACATCAATTGTTCGTCAGCATATAACAATAACAATAGCTGTCGTAACATAGGGCTGTCGTAACATAGGGCTGTCGTAACATAGGGCTGTCGTAACATAGGGCTGTCGTAACATAGGGCTGTCGTAACATAGGGCTGTCGTAACATAGGGCTGTCGTAACATAGGGCTGTCGTAACATAGGGTATGAACCACAAAAAAACCCGTTATTCACATGTATGATTGTGTGGTCCTCTCTTCCTCTTATGTAGGGTGTGTCCTGGAGCACGGTGAGGTATATGATTGGTGAGATCCAGTACGGTGGGCGCGTAACAGATGACTACGACAAGCGACTCCTCAACACCTTCGCTCGCGTCTGGTTTAGCGAGCAACTCTTCTCACCAAACTTCTGCTTCTACAAGGTCAGTGTGAATGATTTTTCAAAGAATTTTCAGAATCACTAATAGTTGATAAATATGCCATGGGTTAAGTATTGAGATACAAGATTTTCAATTATCGGTGTGCAAAATGTGCCCAAAGCAAGTTATAGATCATAATACGTCAGTCCAAACTGGACTTCATAATATCATTTATTGCCTTCGTCAGAAGGACTATGGAATCAGTTGGCCTTATTGTGGGTGACTGCGAAATTAGCAAAATAACTCTTTCCATATATGGGCGTCCGGTTACTTGCCTGGAGCAGCTGAAGGGAAGATGAATTACAAGTTTTGATTGGAAAAGGAACGTTTTAAGTAATTTCTTAACTCCTGTCTGCTTACTTTATTTTAGCATTATAAATTAGCATTTACATCTAATTTGCCATTATTTATCATGTTGGATGATCTTACCAAATATGTATAATTTAGTACAAAATATTGATTTTGACAAGTCAGTGTTACAAGCTACATGTACATACTGGTATTTTGAAGAAGAAAAAACATTAAGGTTTGTATACTCAGTACTTGTATCTGTTAACTCGGCATGTTTGCATTATTCATGAAACAAGACATCAGTAAGTAAAATGATACGAACCTGACTGCAGGACTTGGCAGACAAAACTTCTCCTTGCGTTACAATCCAAATCATCCCAGAGGGCCAACTTCAAGGTCTTGTTGCTGTCGACGCGGTAAAGGACCCAACTGTAAACACACAGCTGATTCCCCCTATAGTTGTTGGGTTCACCGAGCGCCCACTGGTTGTAGCCGGTCCCCAGAGCAGTGCCGTCCATCCACACCCACTTGCCTTCTTGTCGCTGTAAGCCGATCCAATGGTTGTTCTTGCAATTGCCTCTCACCGAGAGAAGGAAGTCGTTGATGCCGGTGTCGCGGGGCATGGCGAGGGTGCCTCCTTCAGCCCGACAGGTTTCGGCCGATTCGGAGAACGTCTTCTTGGCCCCAAAGTATTTGTAACAGACTTCACGATACTTCTTGTAACCGCCTGGACAGGTTGCTGAATAAAATGGTAATATCTGGTCTTGAGAGACATGGTACCTACACCACATAGACTGTTGTCTACACAAATTCTATTCTTTGCACTTCTGGTTTTTTTTTGCTTTAATCTTTAAGTGATGGACTTGGCGTTTAGAGGTATGAAAAAGCAAAGCTTTACACTGCCAAATTTATGTAATAGCTTCTTTCCAAACATTTCAGATACTTATCATCCATCGTTGTCCACACTTCTGTTTTGGTTTATCTCTTTCTGAAGAAGTTGGCTGGTTCATACATGCGCCAGGTTCTACATCTTAATGTTATTCAAATCAAAGTCTTTAAACCTTGTCAAACTTAAGGCTAGTTTTAGTTTGACGAATTTCCTTTCCTCAAGTTTTGTGTCAGGAGTTATTTTTATGTCATTAATTAGTGCTCAACTGCAAGGAAATGGTGCATATTATATTCAGTATAAGAATGGAGACTCAAGTGAAATATGAAATCTTCGTACCTGTTATGCGTTTCAGAGCGGGCTTGTTCTCCGGTTTGTCTTGGTTATTCTTCATGTTATCCTCCAGCATCTCCAGACGTTTTAGTATCTTCTTCTCCTCCTCCAGTCCTGACTTGGTCAGCTTTGTCACGCTGGCTGCAACGTTGTCCACAGATTTCTCATTTTCCACTAGCTTTGCCGACACGTCCTTTTTCATTTCCTGTAAATCAAATGCCCTGCTGTACAGCCTTGTTTCGAAATGGATGGAAGCAATGGATATTTGGGGTAGGTCAACTCGTCATCTTAGTGGTAAAATGTTATTCGATAAAATTGGATTTTACTGTTGAAATTGCTAACACATCAATTCATCAAGTCTCCAACATGTCATCTAGGCTCTGATATGTTTTATGAGAAGAATTTTCTTCATACCTGCTGGTGATGAATCCATCCAGAGACGTTTGCCTGGATTCTGGCTGTCTTGGTGTCCAGCATGCTGACTGACAATTTCAGCTCCGACAGATCATCATCAGTTGTCTTCTGGTCGAGCTTGTTGAGTGACAGCTTCAGGTCTTTCAGATCGCCCTTTGTCTCCTGGTCAAGCTTTCGGACTGTCAACTTCAGATCAGACACCGTCACAGCTGTATAAGTAGACAAAAACACTGAATTATGTAGGAAAGAGGACATACAAAAATTATAACAATTAATGAAAGTTCACTGTTTAATCATTTTCTACTGACCATTTTCGAAAAAAAATGCATTGTACATTTACCCTGAAAGATGGTAACTCCCAGCAGACCGAAAATCAGGACCATTGTCACCACAGCGTAGGTTTTCAACATGGCGCTGGTCCAGCCTCCGGACTGACCAGGGCTGCTCATACCGACCCCTGGGATGTACCCAGCGGTCTCAGCAGAGGCAGGTCCGGGGTCGGCGGCTTGGCGCTTGTCGTTAGACTCAGACCTGGACAAACCTGAAGGATGTACAATAATTATTTATTATATATTAAATCTCTAAGCAGATCTTTCGGTTGGGTGGCAAAAGACCGTATCCATTAGCCATCCTGTATCCATTGGCCGTCCTGTATCCATTTCCCAACCGAAGCCAACTTTGGGGGGCTAATGGGTACTGTCTTGCCACCATAAGATCTGCTTGGAGATTAGTACAATATTCAATATATCACATTTCTGCTGCAGGGTTGAATTCTAAGAACTATAGACACCATACCTTTGCCAAGTGATGTTAAAATTTATGACCTATCAAATTGAATTATAAATGTTTTTTATCGATCATATCCTTATTTGTATAAACCACATTCAGTTGATCATTTTCCCAACCCAATGACAGTCTTATCTTGAGAAAGAAGGACGTTGTACATGTAAATTATTGATACCTAATTTTTATAGTTGACAAAATTTCTACAATTTCGTCTTGGAATCCTTGTTAACAGATACATCTAAATGCATTTACAAAAGGATGTTTTGGCCAGCCATAGTCTAGGTATCCAAGATGCTTTGCGCGTGAGATCAAATTAGGCAAGTGAAGCCACCATTATCGTAAGAGTTGTATTATGATTTTACGTTTCACTTTATCTGGGCGGCCATTCCAATTTTTCTTTCATATGCTGTAAAGAAGTCATTACTTGGTGATGGTAAGGACATAAAGATGGGTAAATTTTGAAACTATAAGAGAGTTAACTAAAGTAATTTTACCATAAAGTATTAAAGAATGTCCTTTTCAGGGAAGTAAAAACCTAAAATCTATTTTAGATAACCCAGTCCAGTAATTCTCCTCCAGCCTTGATATTCACCCGTAAGACCTACATGTACGTATACTGACTGGACCACTGGTCCAATTTTTGTAAAAGGAAGGAGCTTGGTAAGGTAAAGTGTGTATCCTTCAATGTACCTATTCGCAAAACTTATCAAAATTGGGATTTTAAGACCTAAAATCAGCAAAAAATCGTTAAGATCATCTATTAATGCATGAAGGGATGTGTCTACTGGTTGAATAGAAAAACTAGAATCATCAGCATATTGTGCTATCTTTGTTTTGAATGTATCGAACTTTTCGAGCCAGTATTTCCACACATAATATTCCTGATATTTACAGAACCTTACCTGGCTCTTTTGGTAAGGCTGAGGCTCCAGGTATGGGGTTCAGGCCGGATCCGGAGGCCCTGTTTCTAGTCGAAACCCTCGACGGGGAGACCGTGCAGGCTTCCTCGTAGTCATTGCTGGCATCCTCGTTGTAGGAACTGCTGACGTTACAGGCCTTCTTGTAGATGTTTTCTTCCATCGCAGCGCAGGCAGCTGTCTTCTCTCCACCAACTTGTTTACCTGAAATGTAGCGTTTCAAATGTTCTCTGCTGTTTTTTACATCCACAATGATTGTCTGGTACTTACGTTGGCACTAAAGGTTACATGAATTAAGTCAAAAGAGAAAAAAGCGAGAAGAAAGACGCAATTCAACTCACCTCCCTTAGATCCATAGGCACACCAAACAGTGACGCTCCAAGCCCCACTCACTTCACTCGCAGACTTATTAAGCTCGCAACTCTTTTTACCTCCATGAAAAATGGAGGTATTGTTTTTGGCGTGTCTATGTTTGTCTGTGTGTGTGTGTCTGTGTGTCTCAGTTCAGCAAATTTGTTGTCAGCATAACTTCAGAACGCCTTGATGGATTTGTGATGATATTTGGTATGTTGGTAAGTCCAAGGACATTAGACACAGAGTGTGTAATGTCCTTGGTAAGTCTTATGAAGACAAAGGTGAAGGTAAAATATGGGCCTCCTGGTGGCTGACCTTGGTACTGCAGCAGAACTTCTGGTTTTTATATCTTTTGTCCTGAACATGCTATGGTCTTGACTTTTTGGTGACAGATAGCTTTTCCTGTCAGGAATAAGTGGTGTGGGTTTGGTCCCCCTAGCAGCTTGGTGAAATTTTTTAAAACCGATAAGTCCAGATGGGAACAACATATTTTCATCATTTCAGGGTGTTCCGTAGAATAAAAAAAGGATTAACATTACAGCAATTGTTTTGTACTCTAGACCAAATTAATTAAAAAAGTAAAGAATACACATGACATTGTTCATTTATCTAGAACAATGTCCCTCTATCTGGTGACCTCTAGTTGGTATTAGCTACTAAAGGAAATTCAGTTCTAATCAAAATGTCCTGTTTGCAGGGCTATGTGATTCCAAAGTGCCAGAAGATTGAGCAGTACCATGAGTACATCAATGGCTTACCCACCTCAGCCACTCCAGAAGTCTTTGGTCTGCATCCAAATGCCGAAATCACGTAAGTAGAGCACGGAATTTTTGTTGTAAAATGAAAACTTTTGGTTTCTGTTACAACATTGTATTTCATCTTACATCTTACATACTCATCAGGACAGTTTATTCCAGTGTCATTAATTTGTGAAGGAGGTTTACCTCCTGCAGGAGTATTGTGGTCAGTTGGTTTTACATGTTCGCAGGTTAACCTCATGGTTCGTCGTCTATAGGCATGCCCTTGGCGATGCCCGTATTTTTATTTTTACCATTATTATGATAGCTATTTTTGTGGTTAATGTGATTTTTTTTTCGAGTCAGAAATAGCTGGATTTAATGTAATATTTCAGAAGCACCCCTACATTTAATAGACTTTTGGAACCGGCCGTAGATAAACAATTGTTAAGGATTTTATATCTAAGAGTTTTTCTGCATTGCTTTCTAGGCACTCGAGCACGGTTGCCAAAGATGTCCTGGACACCATCCTGAGTATCCAGCCTAAGGACAGTTCAGGAGGGGTGGGGGAGACCAGGGAGGCCATCGTCTACAGGATGGCTGATGACATGCTGGACAAGCTACCCAAGGACTACATCCCATTCGAGGTTTGTAGAGTGAAGTCTTCTTAGCAGTGTATCAAATGGACCTTACACAGTTACATGTACAAATGTATCTCTAAGCAGGTTTCTTGGGGGCAAGACACTATCCAACCAACCAGAACATTGGAAACTGTCTGGCCAGTTGGATAGTATCTTTCCCCCTAGAGATCTGCTTGGATCAAATGCAGCAGTCTCTTGCAATGTGAACACTCATGATTTTAGGTGTTAACTATGTAAAACTGTACAAAAACTATAGTAATGGTAAAATACTGCTATTTTGCTCAGGACATATGGGCAAGAGAATGGAAGCTGAACACACTGTAAATGAGGGTTAACAATGGACTTGAATCCAGCTGTAGTTACTGTACTGTTACAGTAATATTGTATGTGCTTGCACAACTGTGTGACCCAAGAGATAAGTAGATGGACAGTGGCACTTTCCTGTACATCATGTGGTGTAGGAAGGACTTAAACTTAATTCAAAGTTTATTTATCAATAACCATCCATTCCCCCCCCCCCAGGTGAAGGACAGGTTAAAACAGATGGGTGCGTACGCTCCCATGAACATCTTCCTGCGTCAGGAGGTGGACCGCATGCAGAGGGTCATCACCCTGGTCAGGAACACCCTTAAGGACCTCAAACTGGCCATTGACGGTACCATCATCATGAACGAGGTAAGGAGAAGATTCATGTCTAATTGTGAAGAAACAAGGTCTTTTTGAGCCTTTGAATATTCATGAGTACCTTTCGAGTTCTGTTTTTTCATCCACCTTCTGAAATGAAATAGAAAGGTCGCAACTGCATTGTGTAGAAATATTCATGAAAACCAAAGTAATTATCATCATACACACAATGTAAATCATGTTACGTATCTCTAATATTGTTACATTTCTTCCATTTATGTTAAACTTTGTATTATAGATTGATATATATATAAGTCAATGTCAAAGTGATCGACGTGAAGTTACAAACTCATAGTTTAGAGACTGTTGGAAGTCTGTCCACTTCTTCAAGATATGCAGTAGTTATTAACAAGTTCTCTGTGTAACATTCTTGTAGGATCTTAGCATGACCAGTTTATCTAGTACTTATGATACGAAAGTTAAGAAACATCTGTGGTAACATTGAAGTCATATGATTATTTACCAATTAGTTTGAAGAATGTAATTTAGTATACTGTACTACAGATTAGGTTAGAAAATAAAAGTCCCTGTGTCCTGTTACAGAACCTGCGCGATGCCCTGGACTGCATGTACGACGCCCGGATCCCCGCACAGTGGAAGAAGATTTCGTGGGCGTCGTCCACCCTGGGGTTCTGGTTCACCGAGTTGCTGGAGAGGAACGCACAGTTTGACAACTGGCTCTTCAACGGGAGACCCAACAGCTTCTGGATGACTGGCTTCTTCAACCCGCAGGGCTTCCTTACCGCTATGAGACAGGCAAGTTGGCAGATATCAACATTAGACAGTCCTGATCTAGTTAAGTCGACATGGCTTTCTTAATGTCATGAGACAGGTTAGTCAGGTGCAATTGTACATCATACATGTATGAAGAGGTTCATCAGTCACGTAAAATTAACAGGTAGTAGAATATTCATCAATCATTGACTGTTTACATGTACCTCCAAATTTTATATGTCGACTGTACATCTTGATCACTGAGTGACCTAGACTCACAAGAACACAAGACTAGGTCGAGATTTTTGAGGGTCTTCTGAATATTCTAAAGACAGCTGTCATTCTCTAACTAGTATCATTAAACCACAGGGCTCCCTACCTGCTATGAGACAAGTTTAGTTTATCAGGTTTCTACATACTGTGAGACAAGTTGAGCATAGACAGGAGTCATTTCCAAACTGCAGTAGGGCTTTCTAATTTGTTATGACACAGGTCAGTGTAGACTTGAAAGCAGGGACCTCTTGGGTCTGAGCCAAACACTCTACTGTTATGCCACAGGACCACACATTGTAGTAAAATTAGACTTGTCTTGTGTTGTACAGGAGGTGACCAGAGCACACAAAGGCTGGGCGCTGGACAGCGTTGTTCTGTATAACGACGTCACCAAGTGGATGCGAGACGACGTGGCCCAGCCTCCACTGGAGGGCGTGTATGTGTACGGGCTGTACCTGGAGGGTGCTGGCTGGGATCGGCGCAACTCCAAACTCATCGAACAGAAACCCAAGGTGGGCACACTTTTCTCTATCATATTTTATTTCAAACTGCCCCTTCTATGTTCATGAAAGAAAGGACCTGTTCAAACAAATTCCATCCTAAGTTCTCCAAGTTTACAGACAAAAATAAAACTCCTCTCCTCTTTATAAAATAACAGCACAAAACCCACTTCCACTCTCTCAAAAAAAAGAAGTCAAAACCGACAAGTTAGAATTTAGTGGTTAGAGATCTAGTAGTTAGAGTAGTCACATACATGTACTATACTAGTATCGTTGCCCATCCTGTTGTCCATCCTTTATTCTCATGTCACATGGACTTGCAACTAGCCTATGGGCAAGAGCTTGCAATAAACTTTTCATATACTTTTCAATATGGTAGCATATTTGATTATGCACATGTATACTTAGTTATTTCCTGGTGTTTTCATAGCATGATAGCTGAATAGAAACCAAAGTTATTCATCTATTAATCCATTCACTCATTCATTCACTACTACATGTACTTCAACGTCCACAATATCTAAAAGGTAGACACAGTGGAATAATTGATTACGTTATCTTTACCCCCACCCCAGGTGTTGTTTGAACAAATGCCAGTCATCCACATCTATGCCATCAACACCACTGGCACCAAAGACCCCCGCCTCTACTCCTGTCCCATCTACAAGAAACCTGTGCGAACTGACCTGACCTACATCGCTGCCGTGGACCTCCGGACTGTCCAGTCTCCTGACCACTGGATCCTCAGGGGCGTCGCCCTACTGTGTGATGTCAAATAAACATGATTACAAATGTACTTTTCTACCCTTAATTGTGTAAAATACAGCACAAGTCTAATACATGTAGTTACTTGTTGTTACTTATTGTACTAAAATCTCAAGGCAACAAGAGTTGTAAACCTGGAGTGGCTTTAATTTTATCATCATGATTGTATGTATTTGATTGTATGCTATTGTTTACTTTAGGCCACACCAATTTAATTTGTTGGTTCTCGGATTTTTTCAGAAAAAATATGAAGCGACAGGGCGAAAAAAAATAAAATAAAAACAGGTCTAGGCATCCTATTATAGGCTTAAATGCTATGAAATGAGCCATGGAGTCAACACAAAAGGCTGGGTTAAAATTTAAACATTGAATTTTGAACTTTTAATCAAACCACAGCAATGATAGATGGGAAAACTGTAACAACTAGGAAGAAAAGGACTTTCCTCAACTGTTGGGGGCAAAACATGAGCATTTTTCAGTTGATTCAGGACCAGAATCAATTTTTTTTTTTGCAAATCAGAAAAAAACGAAGAGGCGAATCCGAGAACCAACAAATTAAATTGGTGTGGCCTTACCTGTTTTTCAGTGAATGTAATAAAAGTTCATTTCTTTTTTTTTTAGATTTAAGTCATAGCGTGTCCAGTGAATTTTAAGTATTATATGGAGATCAGAAATCTACAAATTATTTTGTTGATTTTATTTTGGAAGTAAAGTCAATTTACATTCTTTTTTACTAATACCCAGTATGTATGGCAGTACACATGATCAAGGGATGTCACCTTCTCAAGCATAGACATAATCATAAATTTATATGAAAAACATTACTTACAGTTTAAGATAATCAGTTTAATCATAAAAGTCATAATCCTATTTATGCACTTATCATAAAAGTTAAAATTGAAAAATAAGGTTCTGTCAATATACTAGTATGATTAGTTCTTAGACTACACAGATATGCTTAAGCTTTATGACTGTTGAATGGAACTTAACTACTTGTAACACATTATATTTTTATCTGTCAATTATTGGCATGTCATACACTAGACCACAATTATGACATGTAACAAATTCATGTATCTTCTTTGAGTTGTTAAAAATATATTTACTTGAAAGGGCTGATACAGTACATCAAGTTGTCATATTGACAAGTAGTTGGCATTAGGACTGAAAGGAGTTTTCCTTTAACATGATTATAATGTGTATAGAAAGATACAAAGGGCTGTGTAAAATCTTTGATACAACAAGACATGGATTGTCAATTTTCAGAAATGTAGAAAATTTGTAACCAAATTTATGAGTCCTAAGATATGATACAATCTAGAATATCATGATATCTATTTTTGTAGCATGAAAACGTGTGATATGTGTGTTTTGAACAAGTGTAACACTTATTACATTGATAATGTGTTACTGTCAAGAATCAACTGTGCCTTGCCTAGTGCAGTAACTGTGCAATTTTGTTGTACATTGTGTATTGCAGTTGGTCTCTTTAAGCTAGACACATGCACCTGTATTTAGTACTTGTCATTTTTATGACCATTTATGCTTTGAATTTGATAATTATTTTCCCGCTTAAAACTTCTGAATTGTTTTTCTATGATCTATGTGAACATTTTATTCCTTTTGAAATAAAATATTGGACCTTTCACCACTGCATTGAAATATACAATTTAACTTTGTTTAATATAGCATATAGGGATGGTTGGACGCTTTAAAATTGATAGTAACGTTAGGATGCACAAGCAAGCTACAAAAATGTAATATGTTTGGGTTCAGGGTATAGTTTACAAAGTATGTGACACCTCGAGTTTGTCCGTTCGTTCCCTTGTCAAGCTCTATGGCGCTATGCGGAGGTCATGTGAACTGCAGCCATAGTACTAGGCGCCAGTCTTAGCCGACCTAACAACCTGAAAATTCCTCTACCATTCAGCACTGACAGTTTTCGCCGTTGTGCTCAGAAAAGTCCATTTTTCACAAGTTTGTACCGCACTACTTTGTGCCCGAACTATTCGCCCATGAATACCGTCGTATGCGACCACAATGTTACGATCTGTCGCACCTGCAGGTTATATTTGAAAAAACGGTCTTTGATCATTTAGAATATCCACAAGACTGCACGCCAAATTTATTAGACTTTCATTTCACCCCACAAGAAGTTTTAAACGGTTTAAGATCACTGAAATCTGGGAAGGCATGCGGCATAGACTCCATTTCAAATGAGATGCTAAAACATGGGTCAGCACAGCTATGCCAATCACTGGTAACATTATTCAATACAATTCTATCAAACGGCAAGTTTCCATCAAACTGGAACACTAGTATTCTCACTCCAATTTTCAAATCAGGCGACAAATCTAATGCTGACAACTACAGAGGAATCGCCATCTCAAGCTGCTTATCAAAATTATTTACTCTATTATTGAATACTAGACTACAAAACTTTATCGAAGACAAAGGCATACTAAATGATACACAGTTTGGATTTAGAAAAAAGTGCAGAACCTCAGACAATGTTTTTATCCTTAAATCTCTCATTGAAAAATACACACAAAAAAAGAAAGGTAAATTATTCGTTTGTTTCGTCGACATGAAGAAGGCTTTTGACAGTGTTTGGCGTGATGGTTTATTCTACAAACTGTCGCATTATGGTATAGGTGGGAATTTTTTCAATGTGTTGCGGTCTATGTACCTGGATGTTAATTATGCTGTTAGACTACAACACGGATTGTCGAATCCTTTTGTTTCTACATGTGGGGTAAGGCAGGGGTGCAATCTAAGTCCTTTATTATTCAACCTTTTCATTAATGACCTACCTTCATGTTTTGATCCAAACAAATGTGACCCTGCAACTTTAACTTCTACATCACTTAACTGTTTATCTTGGGCGGACGACCTCGCCCTAATCTCACTGTCTAAAGAAGGTCTACAGAATTGTATAAACAATTTAGAAACATACTGCAATAGATGGAAATTGAGTGTTAATGTAACTAAAACCAAAGTTCTTATATTCGCGAAAGGAATACCAAACAAATGTCTAAATAGATTCTATATATATGGAAAGGAAATTGAAGTTACCGACAGCTACACTTATCTCGGTATACCTCTCACGTCTTCGGGCAAATTTAAAACCGCCAGAAAATATTTAAAAACTAAAGCAATGAGAGCGCTATTCAAACTTAAATCCCTTTTGTTTTCTGAAACTAACATTTCAATTCAATTAGCAAAAAGTCTTTTCAACAAATTTGTAAAGCCGATTTTTCTATATGGATCCGAATTAACTTGTTTCGACCAAACATCTAAAACACTAAAACTTAATGTTTCTACGCGTATTTCAGAATCCACACCAAAAAACATTTTCTCCACTGTATTAGAGAAACTTGGTATAGAGGAAAACATTTCTGCCTCGGTTAGAAAGAGTTTAAGCTCCACTTGTGCCCACACATATGTGATTCATTTTGAAAGAAGGGCAGATAAGGACATGTTTTTTAATCTAGCGTCTCGTCTAAAATTAGAAAACGACAACTTTTCAATTGAAAATATACATCTTTCTCAACATATTCCAGAATTTGATGCCATCGATATGAACTTTCAAAAATTTTTACTTAGAGTTAATACAAAAGCATCAAATGATGGTGTTCGTGGAGAAGTAGGAACCTTTCCAATAATAATAGATACTGAAATACAATTAATAAAATACTGGCATCGTTTTGTTAACTTGCCCGAAGACAGCTTACTTCGTGAAGCATACGATGTTTTATATTCTGGTAAACACGATTGGCTTAACCACGTAAATGACATTCTGAATTACAATGGTCTTGGACAATTCTGGACGAACCCCGGGTCATACCAAGTGGATACGATAACCAATCAATTACGATCCCGCCTTCAAGATATATATATACAAAAATGGTATAATTCTATTAGTAACAACGCAAAACTTTCTGTTTATACCGCATTAAAGGAAAATTATGGACAAAAACAATACCTATCAAGTATACACAATCTAGATATCCGAAAAGCGATCACAAAATTAAGAATTAGTTGTCATAAATTAAACATAGAAATGGGTCGATACAAGAAAATACCAAATGACCAACGGTTCTGTCCATTTTGTCCAAACATGATTGAAAATGAGCACCATTTTATAATGGATTGTACACTATACAATGATAAGCGCCTATTGCTGTTCACCTTTCTTTCCGCTTGTTCAATTGATTTCAATACGTTAGATGCTATAGATAAATTCAACTTCATTCTCAGGGGAGATAACCAATACAGTGTTCAAATAGGAAAATACATTAAAGAATGTTTCGATCTTAGAGACCACATGTTAGAGAATAGTTAACCTTTATTGTTACATCATACATATACTCTGTACGTAAGATGACGTTATCCACACATGTATGTAGCTTTGTTAGATCTTTAGTTAAGTTGTAGAAGACCATACAAAAGTCTCTGTACTTTTTTGTTGTGTCAATAAAGAATCATCTATATCAGCTCGCACCTGACCGTGACATATGGCGTCAATTTAACGCCGCCCAGTGAAGAGTCAAGGTACTGCAGGTCCACCATAAATCAGTACTCAACTGCGGCCGTGTCGTCAACGTGAGAGCCTGGCTTCTTTTAAGATGGAAGCGGTTCCGTAAAGAAGATACCAGTTACTCTAGGTAAGATCACGGGAGACTTGGAAGGGTATGGATTGAAATATAATAGTGCAATTATTAACGCCAAGGAGGTTTTTAGAGCATAAACCCTGCCCTAAACCACCATGCAACATTACTAACGCAATCCAATCTACTTCCGGGATGTTTGAAATCTCTCATTTCTTGTTTTCCAAGTACCTACATGTAGGGCATGATTTTCAGTGATAAAACGTGGTGGGAAAACATCGGACCTTGCTGCGTTTTACCATGTAAATGCTCAAACACTTTGGTTTCCCCAGACTACGTGCATTGTACAATACCCCAAATCACCCTGTAGCAAAAGATTCTGAAAGTGTGTAAAAAAGGTAACAATGAGGTTGATACAAAAATACAGGTATGATAGAACCTTGAGATTCAGACATTTGTTCAAAGCAAGTATATTGCGTTCCTACACTGCATAAAGTTAAATGCAGCACAAAAGAGCGAAGCGATTCGACCTTCGCATTGTAACAGAGGTAAACAAAAGTAGAAAAGGCACGTCGTCAGACAAGAAGGTCAAGGGTGCAAGGGTTACTCAAGTTCAATGAAGTTACCTGACACCAGACAGAAGATCAAACAACACTGGTTGGCGCCGGTTTAAACCTGTTTGATGACAAAATACAGACGGAATAGACGGCGCAATACTCTGGATATAAGCCAATACGGTGAGTTTAATAGATATGGCAGTCCTAAATGAAACGAGTCTTGCTTTGGATATCCTATAAACTGAGAGTTAAGGTAGTGAATCAGCCACACGATGTAAATGTATTCAATTCACATACGTATACCAGGCGAAAACATGTTTGATCTATGTACCTCCAAACTATACATGTCTGCTGATGCAATGAAATAAGGGAATGATGTCGACGCGTCGACGTCCCAGGTCCAAAAATTAAAGGTGATCACAGACTGTATGTATATGTGAAGTAAGAAGTCAAAATGTAGACTTATTTGTAAACAGTAACTACTAGTATATAATATGTTTAGCTAATTTAGAATGAGAGGATTAATCAGCATTACTGATGGTGAATCTTCAAATAAAAAAAATTGCCTTTTTATAACACAATGGGTGGCGAATATGATCAACTGATATAATGCATGCAAATGAGGATTTTATCTGCATAATCAATTAAAAACATTCAAAGGGCGTTAGTCATTAAGTTAAACATCAGTTGGCGATGTTATAAAGTCGTGGAACTCTAATTTCATTGGTGTGAATTTCTCACTGATTTCGTCCATGTATATGTCACTCAGGCCAAAACACACCCCCGAGCGATGGCACGGGTGCAGGTCCTGGAAAAAGCGCCAGACGGCGGGTGGGGTTGGGTGGTTGTGGCCGGTACTTTCTTCATCCATGCCGTGATGCTAGCAGCATCCATATCCTTCGGCGTGTTCTACGCAGAGTTCCGCGAGGTTTTCCAGGAGGGAGCCGGAGTTACTTCCTTCATCAGCTCTATTTTAGTAGCGACTCTGCTTGTGTGCTGTGAGTATACTGAGTACAGACGTCTATTTTGCCAATGGCAAAATATGGCTACTGCAATGATATTGGCGATAGAAACAATTCTAACGATACAATCATATGCACTGATAAAGTTGGATATGCGAGGTGATAACAATGACAATCGTATTTATATATTGTGGCTATGATTGCCAATTTATCCGTTCACTCATTGTATCCGTTTTATTGGTAAAACCCAGAGAAATGTTTTTTTTTTCATAAAACATGAATCAGTAATCAGCGTTCTCAAATAGAGCCTGCATCCCGTTGCAGCTCCCTTGGCTGGTGCCCTGAGCAACCTGACCAGTTGCCGCGCCGTCATCATCGCAGGTAGCGTCATTTCTGCCGTAGGACTGATCGTCAGTTTCTTCGCGCAGGAGATGATACACCTGTTCTTCAGCGTGGGCTTTCTCACAGGTCGGTATATGTTGCACATATTTTCAGTAATATTAATTCTGGAGTGTTTCCCTTTCTTTTCCATTTTCTTGAGCATCGCGTATCCAGTAAATTGGAGTTAAGCTTAGTGGGTTTGTTTTGTGACTACTAGTAACAGCTTTCTGTTTTTCTTATGTTCTTCAGGGTTTGGCATGTCTCTTATGTACTCCCTAAGCCTAGCCACTCTTGGGCGTTACTTTGACAAGCGGCACGCCACAGCCAATGGGATAGCCATCTGTGGAACTGGCGTCGGCCAGTTCGCTCTTCCTCCGCTCTTCCAGTTCCTTATCGATGAGTTCGGCTGGAGAGGGGCTCTCCTGATTGTCGCCGGTCTGCAGCTGAATGGTTGTGTTTGCGGTGCCCTGTTGAGACCCATACATCTCAAAGAAGATCGCAGAGAGGAACAAGCTAACAGAGAAACGCAGAACAGTAATCAGAAACAGACGAAAGGCGTCGTTCTTGTACGCCAGGTCGTGGAAACGTTCGACGTGAGTTTACTTAAACACCGTCCTTTTCTCCTTTACGACATGTCGCTACTGTGGACGATTCTAGGCATGTCTATCATATATGTACATCTTGTCGCCTACGCGCAAGAACTCGGGGTGGAGAAAACGCAGGCGTCTTTCCTGTTGTCTATCATGGGCGCCTCCGATGCAGTCTCAAGACCAATAAACGGTTGGCTATCGGACAGAGGAAAGATCAGTAAGATCTATTACTACGCGATTGGTCTTGTTGGACTGACCATGGCTAACGTCGCCATACCGTTTGCGACAACCTACGTGGGCCTGGTGGTGTGTATGGTGTTCTATGGGCTTTTCTCTGGAGTTTTTCATCCACTCATTGCTGTATTGGTGCGGAAATACAGCGGAGTTTCACGGATATCCGGCGGGCTTGGATGGAACTTTGTTTGTCAGGGTGTCGCCTTTCTACTTGGACCACCCTTAGCAGGTGAGCAATGAATATGGGACAATTATTTGGAGCTTAAGCACAGTATACAGACCGGGGACAACACCCGTTTCCACTTTTCTTAACGTCGTCCTCATAACATAGTTCTCATAACATTGTCCTTGTTTTGAAATCCTAGTTTTAAACAGCCACAATGATACCTTTAGTACGACAGGGTAGAGACTGTACTAATGAAAGACAACCGCCCGATTTTGTCGTCCTTACAGGTTGGCTATACGACGCAACTGGTAACTACGACATGTCGTTCTACGTGGCCGCCATCTTCACCTTCCTCTCCGCCCTCGTCTTGCTCCTCATCCCGTGTTCCACGTCTTCGACAAGCAAGACGCTCGGCTCTGACAGCGGTGAACTTCCAGACCAATTACAAACCGTAGATAAAGCTGTCGTTCTGAAAGATGTCAAACGGGTTGGCGAGGTAGCCTGACTGAACCTCGCTTTTCGCTGGCTCCCTAGTTAGTTGGATGGCGGTCTATCTAGGGAGCCCCCCCAGAGCTTGGGTTTCACAGGCTAGTTGGCGACGTATCGGCTAGCTGAAATCGCTTGCAGAAGTGGTTCGGAAATGATACTAGGCTAGCAGAAGTGATTTTGGCAAATGCGACGTACATAGAATTTCAGGAATGTTCGGTATGGCAATTTTACGCGCATCGGGAGTGTCAACTTAAATGTGACCGTATCTAGATAGTACATATATATCAAGAACACGGCGTATGAGAAAAAGCTACATGTTTACTCCAAATGTTTGGGAATAAATATTGGTTCTGACGCTTACGGGTGACTTGTTTGTTTACGAGGGTTCATTCTACTGAAGTATTAAAGTACTTTATATAACGAAGACGCATTACAAAGGACATACTTATGCGGTGTTTATGACTATTAAGCTATGATACCAGTAGGGGCTGTACTAATCATCCAGAAGTTACAAATACAAATACACCACCTATACATTCCGGAGTATTTTTTTTCTTTTGTTTCTAAAGAGCTCCATAGAGCTATGTTTTCTTGAAGGTGACTTGAAACACGTATATGTATTTTTCTTGAATGTGACGCGGCGAGCCTATTGAGTTGTGCAGTGAATATCTGCTGCTGTCACAAGTATTGTGCCGCACTACGTTGTACCCGAACTATTCGCCCACAATCTCATGATGTGGTGCACCTGCAGGTCCAATATCAGATCCCCATTCTTAGCTCGCACCTGACCGTGACACGGCGTCAATTTTGCGCCGCCAAGTGAAGGGTCAAGGTACTGCAGACTGGCTACTAGTATTACCCACCTTAAATCAGTGCGCGGACCTCCACTCAGAACTATGACCGTGTCGTCAACATGAGCGTGGCTACTTTAAAGATGGAAGTGGTTCGGTAAAGAAGACACCAGTTACACCTGGTAAGAACATGGGACATGAGGGATGGTGTGGATTGATATACAACAGTGGATACATTCTATGGTAAGCAGGTTTTAGAGCCTAAGCCGTACCCTAGGCCTAGACCCACCATACGACTTTGCTAGTGCGAACCAATTCACTTCCGGGATGTTTGAAATCTCTCATCTCTTGTTTTCCCAGTACCGGCTAGAGCATGATTCTCAGAGTTAAACGTGGTGGGGAAACATCGTACCTTGCCGCGTTTCACCATATAAATACTCAAACCCAATGGTTCTTTTCCCACATTTATACGTGCATTGTATACCCCCAATCACCCTGTAGCAAAATATTCTGGAAGAACCGTATGATAGAACCTTGGGATCCAGAAATTTGTTCAAAGAAAGTATTCCTACACTACATATATGCGTAAGAACAAACGAAGTGCTTCGACCTTTTGCATGTAACAGAAGTAAACAAAAGTACAAAAGGCACCTCGTCAGACAACTAGCTATGGGTCAAGGATGCAAGGGTTACTTAAGTTCAATGAAGTAACCTGACACCATTAGGCCAAACAACACTGGTTAGACTTGTTTGATAACAAAATACAGACGGAGTAGACGGCGCAATACTCTGAACAAGGTGAGTCTAATTGTTTAGTATTAATTAATATGCCAGTCTTAAATAAAACGAAGAGCTTTGACTATCCTAATTGGATGAACCACACGATTTAAGTGTACGTCAAGTTATATACGTACCAGGCGAAAACATGTTTGACCTACGGTAGTGTAGAAAGTAGGACTTACATTAGCTCCAAAATATACATGTCGAATGACGCAATGAAATAAGGGCAATGTCGACGTCCCAGGTCCAATTTAAAGGTGGTCATCACATACTGTATATGAAATGAGAAATGATGCAAATGAGGATCTTATTTGCATAATCAATTAAAAACTTCCATAAGTCCTAAGTCATTAATTTAAACATCAGTTGGTGATGTTATAAGGTCATGGAACTCTCAGTTGATTTTAATATCATTATTGTGAATTTCTCGCTGATTTCGTCCATTCATATATCACTCAGGCCAACACAAACCTTCGAGCGATGGCACGGGTACAGGTCCAGGACAAAGCGCCAGATGGCGGGTGGGGTTGGGTGGTTGTGGCAGCCACTTTCTTTATCCATGCCGTGCTGTATGCAACATGCTTATCCTTCGGCGTGTTCTACGCAGAGTTCCGTGAGGTTTTCCAGGAGGGTGCCGGAATTACTTCCTTCACCGGCTCTATTTTAGTGGCGTGCCTGCTTGTGTGCTGTGAGTATACATTACTATACAAGTACAAGTACAGATTATATGGCTACCAATATTTTTGGCCAGTGGTCTGATAGATAGCTACGACCTTGATACTGACGAAAGACAATGCTTCATTCTCGAACACTCGAGTATCATCATATGCATGATGTTCAGAGTGAAGTTGGATATTCCAAGTGATAACAATGACGACCATGTTTGTGTTCAGTAAAGCAGTGTTTAAATATTGTGGCTGTGATTGTCGATTTGTCAGTTTGCTCATTTTCTCTGGTCTAGTGGTAAAACATCCCAGTGAAATGTTTTTCATAAAACATGGATCAGTTATCCTGGGTACCATCCTGGTTAGTTTACGACGTTCGGTAGTGCCTGGGGGAGCGAACGTAAACTAACCAGGATGGTACCCAGGTTATGGATCAGGATTTAGCGTTCCCGAGTAGAACCTGAAACCGCTTAGCTGATGATTTTAAGATTACGGCTGTGCCTTTGACGTCTGTTAATGATGCATCCCGTTGCAGCTCCCTTGGCCGGTGCCCTGAGCAACCTGACCAGTTGCCGCGCCGTCATCATCGCAGGTAGCGTCATTTCAGCCGTAGGACTGATCGTCAGTTTCTTCGCGCAGGAGATGATACACCTGTTCTTCAGCGTGGGCTTTCTCACAGGTCATAAGACATATGTTGAGTAATTCCGGAGTTGTTTCCCTTCTTTCCCTTTTTCATCGCGTATCCAGTAAATTGCAGGTCTGTACTTATATGTTACTTATGATGGCTACGCAAGAGACTGTTTTGCTTTAGCCATATCTATGTATCTCACATAGGAGCATAATTCCGTACTTGTTACTCCGTGAAGTTTAGGAGGTGCAGTAAATGTGAGAGTTTTGTTGTATCACTAGAGGTAATGATTTGCTGTTTTTATGCTCTTCAGGGTTCGGTATGTCACTGGTGTTGTCCCCGAGCCTAGCCATGATTGGACGTTACTTTGACAAGCGGCACGCCACAGCCAATGGGATAGCCATCTGTGGAACTGGTGTGGGCCAGTTCGCTCTTCCTCCGCTCTTCCAGTTCCTTATCGATGAGTTCGGATGGAGAGGGGCTCTCTTGATCGTCGCCGGTCTGATGCTGAACGGCTGTGTTTGCGGTGCCCTTTTGAGACCCATACATCTCAAGGAAGATCGCAGAGAGGAACACGCTGACACAGAGACACACAACAGTGATGAAACACAGGCGAAAGGAGTCGCCCCGTTACATCAGATCATGGAAACGTTCGATGTAACTTTGCTTAAACACCGTCCTTTTCTCCTTTTCGGTATGTCCCTACTGTGGACGATTCTCGGCATATCTATTATACTTGTACACCTTGTCGCCCACGCCCAAATGCTTGGAGTGGGGAAAACGCAGGCTTCTTTTCTGTTGTCTGTCTTTGGTGCCTGTGAGGCCGTCTCAAGGCCAATAAACGGTTGGCTGTCGGACAGAGGAAAGATCAGTAAGATCTATTACTACGCGATTGGTCTTAGTGGACTGACCATAGCTAACATCGCCATACCGTTTGCGACAACCTACGTGGGCCTGGTCGTGTGTATGGTGTTCTATGGACTTTCGTCGGGAGTTTTTCAACCACTTATCGCTGTGTTGGTTCGAAAATACAGCGGAGTTTCACGGATATCCGGCGGTCTTGGGTGGAACTTTGTTTGTCAGGGTGTCGCCTTTCTACTTGGACCACCCATAGCAGGTGAGCAATGGGGCATTTATTTGGTATACAGGCCCGTTTCCACTTTTCTAAACGTCGTCCTCATAACGTAGTTCTCATAACACTATCCTTGTATTAAAATAAAAGTCAGAGGATACCTTTAGTACGACAGGGTATGGACTAGACTATTCAAAAATTACACCGCCCGATTTTGTCGTCCTTACAGGTTGGCTGTACGACGCAACTGGTAACTACGACATGTCGTTCTACGTGGCCGCCATCTTCACCTTCCTCTCCGTCCTCGTCTTGCTCCTCATCCCGTGTTCCACGTCTTCGACAAGCAAGACGCTCGGTTCTGACATCGGTGAACTTCCAGACCAAACCGCGGATAAAGCTGTCGTCCTCAAATATGTTAAACGGGTTGGCGATGTATAGGCTATAGCTGATGTCGCTTGTATGAGAAGTGGTAGCAGAAGTGATTTGGGCAAAACCGACGTACCGAGAATTTCAGGAATGTTCGGCACAGAATTTAAGCGTGCATCGGGAGTGGGTGTATCTTATTCTAGACCGCATATCAGAAGAAGCCAAATGTTTACTCCAAATTTTTGGGAAGAAATATTAGTTCTGATGCTTACAGGTGACTTGTTGGTTTACAAGAGTTAATTCTTTATTGTGTTGCTGAATGCATATATAAAAGTAAACTTATTCCAGTGCTTTTTATAACGAAGATACATTACGAAGGACATATCTATGTTTTTCTTTATTGCTCATGTGGACTGCGTTTTTCTGCACAATATTATATTAGATATCAGCCAAAGTGAACTATTAGTGGTCCCGCACGAAGAGTCACACAGCTAATTTCAACCTTGGTTATTACTGCTGCACACAGATACACTCAAAACGTGCGTAAGAAAAACAAAACGTTTGAGAGTCTAATGTACTCTCCAAGCAGAGGTTGTGGGGGAATGATCGTTACCTTTTTATATATGGCCGTTTTGTTTTTGTCTTGATCCCCACCAACGTCGGTGGCCGCGGAGCTTCTCTGGCTAATGGATACTGCCTGGCCAATTTGATACTGTCTTTTTGCCACCGAGAGGGATCTGCTTGGAGATTAAGTCTAATGACCTGTTAGGCTGAGTATATAGAATCACCATAATTTGAGTATAGAATACTTGTAGCTAACGTGACGGTAAAAAAACTGCAAAAACAGACTTCACACAGCTACAGGCAAAAGCAAGGCAAGTCACGTGTCTGGATTGGTGGTTCCTGAAGAAGGTTGAAGGATTGGACGAAAATTCGGTAATCGTGATTTTGTGTTGTGATTGTGATTAACAAACTACTACTAAAGGCATGCGCAGCATTCTGTTATACTTCGCGCCACGTGCCGTTAAAGGAGAAAGGGCTTGTCTTCGGGAAGCATGACGTCGTTTCCGGTGTGCCAAACCTGTCCACGACGGCCGATCGGAAGTCGTCACCCGGGGTGACGTGGACGGCGTTGGACGACGCCGCCGAGGGGTCCTCGTCGTAGAAGTGGAAGGGTCGGATGAAGAACTGCAGCTGGTTGCCTGCCGTGGCGGTGGTGGGGAAGTCCTCGGAGTGCGGGACGTGGTGCGCCGCCAGGGTGACCCACGCCACCAGGTCCTCGTCCACGATGTTCTCGTTGTCGTCTATGAAGGACTGGAAGTTGACCACGGGGTCGTACAGGTCGTTCTGGTTGAAGATGGAGGAGCTGCTGGGCTCGGAGTCCTTCCGACGGGTGACGGCCACCTGGTAGTCCATCCACGCCGCGCCGTTGACGGGTTCCCACTCTCGCGGGAACAGACTCTTGGCAATCCCGTTCAGCTGTAACCGGTACCCGCGGTGAGCGTCAAACCTGAAACATAATATGACATGAGAAACGGGAGAATAGCGACATGAATTGTGACAAAAATATAGCGAGCAGTGATTTAGTAAGCAACGTCGACCGCTGGCCGACACGTTGGTATTGCTGCACGTGTTACAAAAAAGCGAAATAATTCACCTGTTTCTGTGTTCTTCGCTGTAGAAGTTGTAGTACTTGGGCCGGTTGAAGTCGTACTGCACGGCGGCTTCCTTCTCGGTAGTCTTGAGGTTCCGCTGGATGCGGGTCTGGATGTGGCGCAGCTCCGGCCGCTCAGGGTTGGTGATGTTCTCCAAAACGATGTCCACGGTTTCAAACCTAACATGGCAGGGAAGAATCCTTCAATATTTGCTTTGCTTAAGATTTTCTGACACTTTTTGTCGTGATTCACCTCAATGACGGCGACTTATTTACCTTGCCTGGTCCGTGAATACTACTAGGACTAATTTACAATTGTTTCATTGCATCTAAAATTGTTATACCATGCCTTCGTTGACACTTAGTACTTTCTTATTAATTAATGGTGACAGCTTCGAGTTAGTGGTGGCATCTAAGATCATACAGACATACTAATAATTGATATCCACTCCTTAATTGTTACACCACTTTTTAAATTCTATACTCGACAACTTACCGATTTTGCGCGCTAACAATGTCCAGATCCACCTTGAAGTTGAAGAAGTGCTGATGCACGTTCCCGACTTGATTGACCCACATCCGGTAGCCGTACGGGTCCTGGTCTGGTGTGTAAAACGTAGGTTGGAGATAGCCTGTGAGGCTGGTTTTTACCTCCAGTACTCCATTCTGGTGGAATATGTAGTCGTAGACGAAGTCGTAGTTGTACACGACATTGATGTGACGTAAGACAAGCACGTGATCCACCATGCCTCCATAAAAAGTGTAGCCGCCGGCGTCGTCTGAATCAAAATGGCGGCGGAGAGGAATCCCAGTGTCCAGTTCGAAGGCGCAGACGGCGTTTTTGAAGCGGCGCGGTTTGCCGGTGTCCTGGTGGTGGAGCGCGTCGAAGTACGTCGCCGTCTTGGGACAGTCCACGCCGCGGAGGAGCTCGAAACTGCCCGATTGTGGCCAGGCGTTGTCGACGTACAGCGCGGACAGCATGAGCGGGTCGGTCCCGGAGTACCACGTGCCCGCGTCTTGCAGACCCAGCTCGTACACGACGCGCTGGTCCTTCATCCGGACATCGTACAGCTGCAGACCCTGCGTGGTGCTCAGCCTCCAGTTAAAACTCCACCCCATGTACTCCACACGGCGGCCCTGCACCTTGTACCGTCGACCTGTGATGTGATGGGAGAGTTCATTTATGTCTAATTGGTGAGTACCAAACAGTGACTCATCAACGACTGTATGCAGTGGCGTCTAAGAGGAAGCAATGTTCAAAGGATCATATAGGTTGCGTTCAGTCAAGCAGAAAGGTTACGTTATAACAGATGGACGTTAGAGGCATTCATATCGCATTCATTCATTCATTCATTTAATGCATAGATCAAATATCGACGATTCGTCGTCTACATCTATGTTCTAAAGACCCCGAGTGATAGCTATATATATATATATATATATAGGCAGTTGTTCCTCACAGGGTAGCAATCCTTGCAGTTTCTGTAGCAAGATATTGGTGGCATTATAAGGAAGGGTATCCAGTAAAATCTAGGCTAGTAGTCATTTTCTATCTCGAAAAATGTTTGGCAATGCCCTCAAATTTGCTGAGGTATGACGTATGTGGTCGAGGTTTGTAACGGCTAGAGGGCAACTCCTACCAACCGTCGGGTTCTATCAGCTCAGGCGCGCGGAGAGGCCGGGAGGGTTGAGGGTCGCCCCGGCGGCGGAAAGTCGAGAACACAGCGTCGTCTCCAGCCAGGACAGGGAGCTGTGCCCTCCATGCCGAGCCGTCGTCATAACTCTGCACCAGCTCAGCCGTGGACGCGAAGTACTGTCCGTTATAGAAGACTCTCTCCACCCGCCACTGGGCCGGGTCCAGGCTGACGTGGTTAATCTGGAAATCAGGGAGCGCATCTTCGCTGTAAGTTATCGGGGCCTTCATTCGTTGTACGTATAGACGTGCTATATGTGCTCATAGTTTTAGTTTTAACACATATCGTGCACGTTTTTGCAAGGTGGTCGTGTCCTGCAGCCTAGGTGCCAATCGATTTGTAATGGCAACGATTTTTTCGGAGTTGCCGTTACAAATCGGATGGCACCCAGGCTACATGTCCTGATCCTGCAACGTGAATCTAATATTTGATGAAACAAGAGTGAATAAATGAATGGAATGAATGAATGGATGGATGGGCGATTGAATGTGTGTGTGTGTGTGTGTGTGTGTGTGTGTGTGTGTGTGTGTGTGTGCGTGTGTGTATGTGTGTGCGTGCGTGTATGTGTGCCTGCGTGCGTGTGTGCGTGCGTGTGTGTGCATTTGTGAGATTGACGTACCTGTATCATGAACCCCACCGGATGCAGAAACTTGCCCTCCACGCTTCTACTGAAGCGGAACCAGGACCTTCTCTCCCCGCTCCTGAACCCGCGTGGTGCGGTGTCAGCTACCGCCAGGCACCGGGAACTGCAGTTGTAGAAGGTGTATCCAAAACTTTCCTGCGCAAAGTTAGACAAATCTAACTGATGTGCTGAATTCTTAGTCAATAGCGTTTGTTACAGTTTGGCAGTTTGTTGAATTACAGAGACGTAGAGCCATACTGCAGTTAGCCTGTTCCAAGGGCTAATACTGTGGTAAAATTTCCTTGGATGCATGTTGGCCTTAGGCCAGGACCTAGCCTGTGGACTGGCCCTGGCAACAGTCTAAGACTAACACTCTGCCACCCGGGCTATACTGCAATTGGCAAGAATTTCTTAAAGTTGTGCGTGGTTTCACAGGAGGCGATAGGATTATCAAACAACACTGCCAACTCTAAGACTTTATCTAATGAAGAAACCTCTGCTATTCAAAGTTGTTTACCCTATACGATACATCTTTCCAAAGAATAAGGAAGAGCTCGGCGCCACATACCTTCAGGATTCTGTCTGTCTCCTTCGTGGCCTGTGTTATCATCGGCATAAGCAGGGTGTACTCCTTCGTCTCCGGAGCTCGGCTGTGCCACGGGATGGGGTTCTTCCTCCCGGCCGGTGCGTGGGCCGTGTGGCGGGTGGGGTTGGGCAGGGGCCCGACCACGTACTGTTCCACCACGGGCTGCGTCCTGCCGCCACCGTACACCGTCACCAAGGCCTGTCTCTCCGGCCGGGGACCGTTATTGTCCAGGTACGATAGAGCGTCGGCCTTGGGTGGAAGGTGGAGCTCTGGAACGGTCAGGTTTTCAATATTTGCATGTAACTCTTGTAATGTTCATGGTGGTTTTATTTTCACGGTATTCGCGTTAACCGTTCCATCGCAAAGTCATGACATCGCGAATGTGATTTGTTTTAGTACTACAGCTGGATAACCAGTCTTTTGGGAGCTTGCTCGGGCTTTTGGCGGGAATGCGCGAGTTGGCCTGTTACCTGGTTCATTTTAATCATACTGCAGTGTAGTCCACTTAGCAGAGGTTATTATTAGGGGTTATTGATAGCAGACTGTGCCTGTTTATTAGATTTTTTGAAAGTTTTTCTTAGTCTATAAGATTTTTTTCTGTACTGGGTGGATGTTTTTAAGGCGATCACCGACTAACACCTGTTCACAAAACCGATGGTGCTGATTCAAGACTGCACTTCCAGCCAGGAACACCTTTTTGTGCTATATATAGTATTTAACATCAGGAGACACATTTTTAACATCATATGGTAAACCCATGACAAGGACGCTGCGCGATTGTATCGGCTGCGATGGCACGGACGTTTGTTTACTAGTAAATCCAGATGAACTTACAAACGCACTTGCTTCACTCATTTAGATACATATCAGGAGAGTCTTAATAAACAAGCTATTTGACCTTCTTCTCTACTGTTTCCACAACAAGAACCGCGCTATTTGATCCTTCTTCTCTATCTATTCTCAACAAGAATCGCGCCGAGCTTCTGCATGTGAAATTAGACAAGACAATACTGGAAGACATGCATCAATAGCGGCATACTGCCACAACATTGTGTACTAGCAGCTAAGCTTGTCCATGACATTTGCAATGCCTACAATAAGAGGCATCTTGTAACCGTAGTAAAGGCACTGTAAATGTACTACCATGTTTAAGTATTGTTTCAACCGCGAACGTAAAACACCGCAAAAATCTCATTTCCTTTCCTAACGTGAAATTTATCCCCCGCAAACAAAAATTTATCACACATAAACACACACTTTCTGAGTTTCTACTGAAACGAGCATATACATGAGTTTATTCTGAATCATACACCGTCACTACTTATTACCTTCTCCAAGAACTATGCAAATCAGGAGCTAATTTGCATAATTAATGAGGGAATTCTATAAATCTGCTTCATTCGATCATAGGACTATGAAACACTTGTGACCAATCAATCTTCAATCGGAATGGCTAACATCATTTGGCGAAGGTATGAGATCGTGGAACTCTTGTTTCTCACGGCTTCTCCTAGACCGGGGACCCATTCCCAAGTACAATGAGCCCCGTTACAAAACGGATAGCAGTATCATACCCCGCACTAACCCCGCCCCTACCCAAATGGACATAGAGTATACTATACCCATTCCGTAGATGTAGTTATCGTGGAAAGAAGCGTCCTCCCATGGCGTGATGTCAAGACCCGGCTGGCCCAGGAGATACTCCCGTACCGCCCTCAGTTCCTCGGCGGTTAGGTCGTCATACATGGCCGGGGAGTCCTCATCAACCTCCTCGGTGGCCATACCGGCTGGACACGGGCCGATAGAGGTAGAGGAACAATTTGTTCCTCCCTGGCCGTCGCCAACCACCGGCGGTTCCGACGTCCCTCCCCCTTCGGTGCCATGTCCAACCACCGGCGATCCCGACCCTTCCCCTTCGGCGCCATGTCCTCCTCGTCCCGAGACCACGCCGAGCGCCACCGCTAGGGCGATGCACACGAGGAGAAGTACCGCAGACACGACCTGCCAGAATAACGCAGTCTTCCACAAAGTTTCGGACGAGTTTGGAGAGGTAGAAGAGTCTCGTTTCCCTTCTTTCATCTCCATATCTTTCATAGTTCAAAGCGAGCGTTCCTTCGAGATTTCAGCTGTTGCCCGTATGGTGAGAAGACCCAGTCAGCTGAGAAGACCTTAAAGTCAGAATGTCCCATTGGGGGTAACTCAACACCGGTGTAGGCACCGCCTTAGGCGCACTTTCGACCTTTAACATGCGCCTATACCGGTGTTGAGTTACCCCCGATGGGACATTCTGACTTTTCAAGGCCATTTGCCTTCAAAACAAAAGAAGTAAACAACGGACCTGGATATGAAATGGAGATCGATGTTCCGTATAAAATCCGTTTTGAGCGGAGATAATATGTGAAATCGTTGACATGGCGCAGGCGAAACTGTCCCTGTTCGCAACAAACGGGTTTAAAAAATTGCATATATTTCATACCACACGAAAAGCCGTGAATATTGCCATGCTATAAAAATTAACGTAAGTGTAGCAAGCCCAAGGTTCAACAGCTTTACGTATTAAAATTTGATGAGTTGATGTGACATTGAAACCTACAGTTGGTCACAGTTATAGGGGCGAAGCCAAAGACACAAGATTTATACAGAATGCCAACTTGGTGCCACAGAGCGAGCCCGTGTATGTGATTGATTAGTCGGGCGTGCGGCTGACATGCGGTTTTATATTTGATCCAAATGCCCTCGGATCGACCGGTGATGAGTGCACCAAAGGTATATGTTGTTAATCTGTCTTTTATATGACGTTTCAGTCACTGATAGCAAACGTGGCACTGACGACCATTTCATTGAGTTGCAGTCTATATATATATATAGCTGACTTGTATGTAATGTTATACATGTATGCAGTTCGTCTTTCCGTCTAGCATTATAACACAGACGCACAGAATGCAACAGACGTCAGTTGCGATGGGTACAATTACCTATTCCAGACCAAAGACATTTCGCGTATGTACTAAAAGAAAACATAGCCCTACCTACGATTTCATGATTCCCGGGGGGGGTCTTCCTTGTTGGGGAAAGGGAACTGTGTTCTGGCTTCTGCATTTCAAACTGTTCGTTGTTGACATCTACAGCGGCTTCAGCTAACGTAGTACACCGTAAGGACGCCGTGCCTGTTCGGCCTTGAACTATATAAACATCCGGCGAAAGTAGGTCATGGTCAGCACTCCGACAAGGCTGCGTAACATGTGAGTTTCCCCCGAGTACTGAAGAATTTCACTAAGTGACAAGTGGTCCAAATCGTGTGGTATTGATTATCAAGAAGGTTGAAAAGATTTAGCTTTACTGAATATCATAGTATAACGCGACGTGTCCCTTCTACATACGGTACACGCACGCCCTCTACCGAAATAGCACGTCCATTCATGGCGGGTAGATTATACCAAAATACTAGTAAGCAAGCACAGGGGTGTTTGGTTGAAAAATAGTTTGACAGTTGCCAACTGATAAATGATTAATACATTGTCCAACAATCCACATACTAAGGAGGTGTGTATTTCTATTACTAGTATTAGTGTGTCTGCGTCTAAAAAGACTCAAGTGTCACATTGTACACCGAACTGGCTTTGGGTTGGGCTTCTTAACTACGAATGAATAAAGATTCTATTCGTTGATTCAATCTTATCCATATAACCTCTGGTTGGTCAAATGCTGTACACAGCTGGTGGGTACATTTGCATATCGAACAGGTGGAACACAGGTGCGAAAATTTTGGATGAAACCATTGTTTCCATCTAAACGGGGGACGAGATTTTAATTACTTCTTTATACCAAAGAATAATTATAGAGTTGCCATAAAATGATATGTATGTACCAAAGAATGCAACATTGCAAAGTTGCAGGAAAGTGACCCTAACGTCCCTTGCATAGTCTGGGCCATTGAAACGAACCTCATTTTTCAGTGTGACGTAAGCACTTACCTGTAGAAAGAAAAGGGACAGTCCAAAATCGGGCTCCGTTGGTGAACAGCAGGCAAGCGTCAGTTCAAGCTACGTGTTGAAGCATGAAGGTAAGTCGTGAAGGTCAGTGTCTTTCTCTTATTTTCCCCTCGTGGCAGCCCAAAAAGGCCCCCGGCGTTTTATAACGCTAACTCGTGCGCTTTCATGTAGACATGTAATTCGTGCGTTGGCGTTGTTTAAGTGTAATTCGTGGATTCCTGAGATTTTGAGGCTCAAAACATGTTGTCAGCTTGCGTTCAAGCTGGCGGTGCTAACTTGGAGACCCGGGCGCTGTATAGTATTAACTCGTGCGCTTTTATGTATACATGTAATTCGTGCGCTAACGTTCGCAATTCGTAATTCCTTTTTTGAGACTCGAAACGCGGCGTAGCGTGCACGTTGCGCGAAAGCTGGTCGCGCAAAAGACCCTGCTTCTTGATTTGTTGTATGACTATGTGTTGAAGATATGTCAGGAATTTTGTGAGTTGTACACAAAATTCCTCGCATGATATTGTCATGGTTAGTCTAGGTTTAGTGGTGTTATTTCACATGGCTTGGTTGTTTTGTATTAATTTGTAAGTTGATATTGTGATGATTCTATTGCTGTGGTTTATTCTTATGTTGCTTGCAGCGCGCGGATGTGAATCTTTTCCAGAAAGGTTCACATCAATATCTTTTCGTTGCTAAGTCAGTTTACTGGCTTAGCAACGAAAAGGGGCATCTCGCGACGTTGTTATAGTTGTAAAACGTGCGTGGTATAGATGTAAACGTTGTATAGTTTTAACCCGTGCGTTTTATAAAAGTAATTCGCGAGGATCCAAATATCAGATGCCCACGTGCAGCGCGGCGCGGTTTGAACACAACAAAAATCATACACAGCATCTAATGGTGTCGTTCTTTCTGCAACCACTTGCACACACGTACACAAACACTATTGAATCCATTGTATTCCTTGTGCTCTTAGCATGGGAGCCATCTTAGTAAGATCGCTCTCATGCTCTTGGGCTGTTTATGGTAGTATGATAACCCATGTGAATTAACACCACTAAAATCCATAGAATTCCTAAGAATTCTTATAGAATTCTATGGATTATTATTAGAATAGAGAATTTTATCTTAGTTCCTATTACAGTGTACTAACGATTTTTCTTCCTCATGAAAAAATGGGGGGTCTGTCCCCGCTTGTGTAGTTCTTATGGGGTTAGGTCCCACTCATGCCTTTTAATTGCTTTTATATTGCCCCATTTGGGAAAGGTGGGTAGTTTGGGTGATACGTGTTAGTATTAGTTTGTGCAACTAATGGATATCCCAATAAAGTATCAAGTTTGTAAATAATGTATATTTGATACCAAATGACCTATTAAAACAAGTTTATAATACATTATTAAAATGAATATCTAAAAACGATCTTTTAAAAGATTTTGTTAGGCTCGTACTGAACCCCCTGGGTGTCTTATGGGATAAGTTTTAGTTAGTTTCCCTATAGCTGGCGCCCCTCCCCTTGAATATATGGTAACTTTCTATTGCCTGTATCTTCGCACACACGCGCACACACAACAGTCTCTAAAATATATAATATTCCGATGCTAGAAATGTGTATAAAGTGTCTGAATGTAAGAGGTATGCAAAGGTTCAAAAACTATTTTGCATATTTCATTAGAATTTAAAATGTCTCTAAAATATGGGAAGAAATGTTTGATGCTTGAAAAGTGTAGTAAGTAAGTAATCTAAATAAAGTGTCCTATATACAATGTTTATTTGGTTGCAAATGAGTGTTCTTTTCTTCGCATTCACGCACGCACACACAGGTAAAAAAGTAAAGTTTGACATGTGACTGTTTGTTTTCAAACATATATGGATTCTATGTAATGTTCCTAGTGTATTGTATATGTTCTAGTTTCTCTACCCAGTACAGGGTATGGGCAGCGATGTTTAAAATCACATCTTATACTTATTGTTAACGTGTTTCTTTCCTTTTTGTCCAACATTACAGTTACAGCGTATACCTGAAGACTGAATTCGAAGTGTCTGCAATGCGAAGACGTCTTCTTTATCGCCGAGAAGTTGAAGGAAGCAGCCACCGCAGCTCTGACCAGACTGTTTGGAAACTATGAATGCACGAGTGAATGAATGAATACATAAACAAATTAGTGGATGAATATATAATAAAAGTACATGCTGTAGTTTATCTTGTTCAGGATTTGACATAGTTGAATGTTGCCTGGTTCTGCATGCATGGGTGAAACAATGTAAGTGCACAGCGTATCTAACATTAATTATAATCTACGCTTTCTTTTTTTCTTTCCTTTTCTGCCAACACAGTTCCACCAACTTGAGAGGATGTAGTTTCGTGACTGGTCGGGGGAATCTGGTGACCACAGCTCCGATCGTGAAAACCAGCAGAAGCAAGTTGACTGTACAAGTTAGTACTGGGGCTTCTATTAGTAAATTATTGGGTCTTTTGACTCGAGGCGTGTTATCATTTTGTTCGTGACTTATAACAAGTAAGGTAGGGGCGCTTGAATAATTAGTAAAATGGAGCTTTTTTTTAATTTCTTGCATCTGTGTCTGAATAGCCGATAAAGCCACCCCTCGGCGTAACCTGGCTTCGCAGGCGCGCGGCGCGGCGATTTTGTGTCGATCTGTTTGAGAATCTGCAATTTCCATGTATGCATCTTTGATAAACATACAATATGTATGGACGTAGACATCTTTGAATTGTTACTTTTGGTTTTGCTAATGTTGGAGTTCAGATTTTGTGATGCCCATGTATGTATATATTTGCAAGTTGTGTAATGTTTGAGGTTCATAGTGTGTTGAGATCTTTTTAGTCTGATTTTTTTGCAGTATTCATGAATGCTTTGAAGTTTAACATGTACATGTACAAAGGTGAGATTCTGTGAAGTTGATTGGTTTTTGTTATTCAACTGTTCTGTTAGACTTTTTTGTGTGGCCTGTTTATCATTTATGTGATATCAATAAGTATATATTGACTTAACATAGTTTGCTGAATACACTTGTACCTTTTATATTGTCATGAAGTTACATAAATAGGTTGGTGTTAAGTTATAAGTACAAGAATACAGGGAAGGAAAACCCTGCACAGACACCCAGGGAAGACACCCCTGCACAGAAGTCCTAGGGAGTAAACCCTAGTAAAAAAATCCAGGGGGGATGAAACACCCCTGTCAAAAAAGTCAACCCCGCGCGTTCGACAAGTCAACCAATACTACATAAGACACAGGCGGACAGTGGGATCGGCATTTCTATAGACGTTTACAGTAAATGTTATGTAGATTAGACTAATATGATATACTAGTATTGTATGACGGTTGATTTAGACTGTGACAGTTTTTGGAGTGTTTGAAAGACATGTATCTATGATTCTAGTCTGAATAGTTCTGATATTGTGTTCTGTTGTGTAATTCCTGGTTGTGTAAAAAAACATCCCAATATCCTATGTTTACCAAACTGATAGACGTGTTTGTAGTTTATTTTATTGCACTATTTTATTGCACTTTCTTGTCTTTCTCATAAATGATTCCTGTCATATTTTTTGTATGCTTTGTGTTCTGTTTGTTTGTCAAATGCAGGTGATCGATGAGGCCACACACATCGACTTTCCAGAAGACGGCTGCTATTGAGCACAGACTTCACCAAAACCGCCATACCCCTTTGAATGATTTTGATTTTTGTGCCTTAGATGGTACAGATTACACAAGAGAATTAGGCATGCGCGCAGATAGGAAAGAGGTTTTGGAGTTTCAATTTGTCTTGGCCATTCTTTTATTTACTTCCCCGTCATTTTTCTGAGTGTGTACTTCTGTCTGTCGCTGCATGTTTAATGTGTTGTGGCTTGAATGATAAGGTTGGTTGGTTGGTTGGTTGGATGGATGGATGGATGGATGGATGGGGTGCAACTGTAAATAGTTGAATGTCGCCAGATTCTACATAGCATTAATCAACATACGCCTTCGCCTTCTTTACCTTTCTGACAATACAGCTGCAGTTCCATGTCATAACCTGTGGGGGCGTAGTGGCGACATGGTGAGGTTATTTGGTGAGAGACTGGTGGAGGAAGTAAAACTGGTGACCGCAGCTCTGAAGGCTAGAAGCCAGCATCTGTGCAGGTTAGTACTGGGGGACATTAGTGGGGGGAGGGGGTATTTGTACATTCATTGGGTCTTTGACACAAGGCGTGTTATAGTATAGCATAGCATAGCTTAGAACATATCTGTAGAGGTGTGCTAGCTCTTAGTTATATTCTATTTAACATTTTGCCAGACATGATACCCGTTGAACCTATACATGTATGTAGAATCTTGATAGACCCATACCAGCTTAATAAGAATCTGCCATATGTTGTACCAGTGTTACAATCGTTGTGCAATAAACTTTGACTTGACTATCATCTCGTTGGTGACTAACAAGTAAGGGAGGGGTGCGATTGAGTAATTTGTAAAATGGGGACTGCTTTGTCTATTTGTACATTTATTGGGTGTTTGAAGTGGATGATCATTTCGTTGGTGAACAATTATGTAGGGGCCGATTGAGTTATGTTTTGTAATGTCCTGTGTTTCTCTGTCCAATGCAGGTTACATAAATTGATGTTCCAGAGGACTGTTCTGACAGATTCACCAGTGAAAAACTGTAACAGCAAGGAAGAAAAGGACTTTACTTGACTGTTGGGGCAAAATATGAGCATTTTTGAGGTTACTAGTATTCAGAACCAAAATCTTTTTTTTTTTGTTCAAATCAGAAAAGAATGAAGAGACGAATCCTTAAATTGGTGTGTAGGATGGTACAAATGATACTGTTTGCATGATACTGTTTGTACATATCATATAGCGTATATTTGATGTTGGTTTTGTTGACAAGGACAGTATATACAAATGTATGTTGGGCAGGGTAGTAGACGGACACGGACTGTATGTTGATGATTTTGGTCCTAGTGACTTGCTTCTAGCCATGGGACATTGGCATAAAATTATTGGCAAACTGACGCTCATCCTGACATTACTATTTACAGTCTCAGTAATGTTTGTCTTTTTCTCAAATTTCGTATGGAGTACACTCAGCTCACATTGCCGTAGACAAAAATACAATTGGGTTTGAAAAGATTGTGAACAGCTAAGGAAGAATTAGGCTTAATACGACTTAGCGAATAGACAGCCTAGCTGAATATAACAAATAAAACCAACTGTAGACAGAGTATGACTTAACCAAATAAAAATAAAAAATATTAGATAGGCAGGGAGGAAAACTTTAAAACAAAACTTAGCAAGACAGGGCACAAATAATAACATTGCCTTCTTCAATTCTGGCTGTTCACTTTCACAATAAAACATTCTTTTAACATTTATTCTTTATCACAAACTGCTGTGAGCCGAGTGAAACTCTTTAAACTTTGTTGCTATGTTGTAATTTTGTCGGGACTGTGAGTGGTTGTTGTCAGGATGGCGTCCAAATTTACCTCGGCAATGGAGGCAACACCTTGACGCGGTGCCGGGGCTTGTACCAAGTTTGTCTCTGGGAAATTACTGTTTATTAATTGTGTTGACATCAACCTTTCGTAGACAAATAATTGTCATTGTCCTGCCCTTGGTGCTTAACGTGTTGTTAGTATGAATTTTCATCCTGTTTTGAGTGAACACAGGCAAGGAGGATATTGAAGACGAATCCCACTTTTTGATGTCGTGTCCAACATATGAACAGAAGAAAACGACAAAAGTTGATGTATTCCTTTGCTTCCAAAACTAATGTTGCATTACCCCATTCAAAACCAGATATCTTCAATATGCTCCTGCCATGCACTACTCAGGTATCAGTGTACCATAGTAGGAGAATTTTTAATTCATATCCGTATGTAAATTGCTGACACATCTCCTGAATCATACTGTAATATACATGTACATGTAATACTCTCCTAGATAAAGATTGGTAGCATTGAAACTGAGTAAAGTTAGTATAGCTATGGATTAACCGTTATAATTGTATTTTAGCATAGTCTTGTATCTACCCTTGTTCTTTATTCTCTGCCTACATTAGCTAATGGACACTGCCCAATGCTGCCTTGCCACCGTATCATCTGCTTGGAGATTATAATACATTGTACCAGTTACAGTTGTTGAGCAATAAAGTTGATGTTATCATGAAAGTTCGTCTGTGTTGGTATAGTTACATGTTTAAAGTTAAAACTGTTGATCCAACATAAAAAGTTCTCCACCTAGAGCTTTTCGAGCAGTCACTCTGGTCTTCCTCAGTAGACTGACCCGGTGTTGATGTCACACTTCAAAGAAGCCACGTGACAGGCCTCACTGGGTCAGTCTACTGAGGAAGACCAGAGTCTTCATTTTTTTCTGATTTGACAAAAAAAATTCTGGTTCTGAATAAACCAAAAATGCTCATATTTTGGCCCCAACTCTTGAGGAAAGTCCTTTGCTTCCTAGTTGTTGCAGTTTTGCTATCTATAAATGCAGTGGCTGTATTTTCAAAAGTTCAAAATTCATTGTTTGAATATTAAATTAGCCTTTTGTGATGACTTCATGGGCCTTATCGCAGACTTCACGGGCCTTATCGCAGCATTTGGGGCTATCAGAGGATACCTAGACCTATTTTCATTTTTATTGTCCTGTCGCTTGTCCGAGAAGCAACAAATTAAATTGGTTTGGCCTTAAGTATGTTCAAAGAAAGCTATTTACTACTGACAAGGTATTTATTTCAGTGAAATTGGCTACTTTATTCCATGACATTCGTCTACCATGACATACATCATTACGCCACACCAATTAAATTTGTTTCTCAGATTTTTTCAGAAGCGACAGGGCGAAATAAAAAAAAAATTTAAAAAACAGGCCAAGGAACCCCATGAAGGCCGGAAATATTTCAAAATGAGCCATGAAGTTAACATATCAGGCTGGTTTACATAATTAAAACAATAGATTTTTAACTTTTAACAAAACAAAATTGCATTGCAATTACTTTGAAAAACTTTAACAACTGGGAAGAAAGGACTTATTCAACCCTTGGGGCCAAAATATCTTTAATTCAGCATTTTGCAGTTGATTTCGACAGTTACAGTTACTAAGGTCTGGCATTGACGCTTGAGATTATTTTTGTTGCAAAATACAAAACTTCACGGTGGATTGTCACCTATGGCTTCTTGTTGGGTTTAGTGGAGAATTTCGAACAAGATAATTTTTTAGGCCTGTATGTGTTGTTTATTTGCCTCTTATTTTAACTTGATTAATCCTGCATAAATGAAGCGTAATACCGGGACGCTGCTATTTGCATACTTTTGCGCAATTCAAAGTCTATCTGCACGAATGAAGAATAGATTATGGCCGCTTCCTAACGAAAATTAGTGCAAAGCATGATCGGGTCCTTCCCACTTCTAAACAATTTAGTGAGAGGTTGACACATTATGCAATTAGGATTTCTAGTTACATACATTGTGTTTATTGACTTTGTTCATTTACATATTAAAATCATTTACATATCAAAATACATGGCAGCTTCATTTGTATACAAAGAGGCTGAATTGTGCATTTTAAGCATAACCTATATTACATAATCAACATGATAACAAATCTATATCTATATTACATGATCAACATAACAAATTAAAAAACGCATACAATTACATTATCATGATGATGACATTATAAGGAATTGAAAAGGTTCTTAATAAGCTGTTAATTGACACTAGGTATATTTGTTCAGGAGGTAAGTGAAGTACGGAATTAAGGGCTGTTTTTGTAGCGGTTTGTTTTTGCCAGTGGGATGCAGAGTAACTGGGAACTTCTAAAGTTTTTAGCATGAACTGGTTGGAGGTAACCAGCCTCTAAATGTGGGGGACCTTTAATAGCAAGGGTTTAGAAAACTTAAGACTTAGGTTTTCTCTCCTGTTTTCCAAGGAGGGGAGACATATATGTGGGTTAGGGCTTCATCGTAATGGGTATATTGGGGGCCAAGGATAATTCTTAAAGGGCACGTTTCTGTATTCGCTCGATCTTCACGGATTGTTGTGTTGTGATGCTGGGGCTCCAGATGGGGGCAGCGTACTCTAATGTGGGGCATATATAACCTTTATAAAAAGCAAGGAGGCCTAAAATGGGGAGTCCGAACCATTTTAATTTTTTAAGCCAGAAAAGTCTTGAACTTGCCTTGGAAATAATGACATGAACATGTTTATCCCACACCAAATCACGTGATAACCATAAGCCGAGTATACATGCATTCTCTGTGTGTTCAAGAGGGGTATCATTAACTTAACTAAGTGAAATTTTGGGGGGCTGGGGGCAGTCTCTCATAAACGAAATCATTAGTAACTTACACTTTTCACCTTTTTATAGGATCATATCATTTTCTAACACCTAACTATTCAACAGGGCGAGGGATGTTTATATTACACTGGGCTCATAAAACATTCTACTTTCGTATACTGACAAATCGTCAACGAATTTATAGCGGTCTAAAACGTCTTGTTCAAGGGCGTCATTAATGTAGATGAGAAAGAGGATTGGCCCTAATTTTGTGCCTTGTGGGACGCCAGACGAAATTTCCTTCCAACTTGATGTAACACTGTGGTAACGTACACGGTGATCGGTTACTAAGCTGAAAATTGCAGAGCCATGGTAACATTGATGTGCGTACACCATACTGTACCATTTGTTTTATTAAAGTGTGTGATTAATTTTATCAAAAGCTTTACTAAAATCTGTCAAGAGAATTGTTTGGATACTTTTGGGGGTTTTGGCACCAACATCGGAGGATCGAGTTGACCATTGCAGTTAGGTAGTGAACAGTAAGACATCCCTTTTCTACAGCCGAACTGGTTAGGGTCTAGTACATTGGCCACGTCCTAGAGAACCCAATTCATAATAACAAATTATTCAAAGACTTTGTTAAGAACTAAGGTGAGGGAAACTGGTTGTAGATTTTATACTTCATGGCCCGGCAGTGACAAAAGTGGACAATACATTATTGTCACTCATAACTGCTTTTGTCACTCATACTAAACTTAAATAGATCTTTTGGAATCTTTGTACAGCCTTTTGTACATATTTTGGATTTTAATGTTGGGATCACAAAAGTTGAAAGATTTTATCAACATTCTTGTCATCAAC